CTCTCTCTCTCTCTCTCTCTCTCTCTCTCTCTCTCTCTCTCTCTCTCTCTCCCTCTCTATCAAAACTTAATGAACTTACTAAAAAAACATTGTCAAAATCGACATAGATTGTTTCTTTATTATACTAGCCAATCACTGTCTGCATCCCTCTATACATGAAACATTTTTACTCATCACTAATAATAATTACTTTTATGTGCCTCTTTGCATTATAATGCTGCATGTATTCTATTTCTATGCCACTGTAGGCTCCTACTAAAAAAGGTATATTAAAATTAAAGAGCACTGAGTATTTCAATTCATGGAATTGTGCTAAACTTACATAAATGTAGGCCTATTATTATAAAAACGTTACCTGAATTAATTAACAATATTATCATATTATTTTATATTGCACACTGAGAACATCATGGCAATTTTTGCATTTCACTTTCACAATAAAATATGTATTTATATTATGGTGTATAAATTTCCCAATTGCTGCAGACTGGTGGTTTTGGTGTGCATGACCCCATGCGCGTGGTCAACGGAGGAAGACATTGCCAAGAAGAAAAAAGCCTATAAGAACCTGGAGATGACCACTCACTGGCCCAGTGATGACATAGGTAGGTACAGGATGTGATTTGTTTGTTTCTTTCTCTTTGTTCGTTCTGAGTACTACTGTATACAGAAGTGCATAGAACACGGTTACGGTCATAATCTAGTTTTTGGATTTAGTAAGAGTTTTAAAGCATGTTCAACACACTAGGTCATATAGATCTAAGTGCTGTAGATTAGAGGTACAACATATGTTTTACTAGAGAATAACATACAATAATAATGATACATGATGTGTATAAGTATAATAATAATCATCATCATCATCATAATGATGATAATAGTAATGGTAATACAATGTAGTAGTAATAATAATAGATTGCATTAGCGCTCTATCCCATACGAGTATAAGGAGGAGGAATCTATTTAAAATAAGAAAAGTACACATTAGATTATAATAAGAAAGAAGGAGCAGACCACACTAGAGGCATAATGTGGGTGTTTTTATTAGTACCCTGCAAAACAATTTAGATCACTTAAGAGACGTTACACCCAAAGAAACAATTTTGATAATTTTGTATTTAGGAGGCGGGCTTTGACCCTGCTGTCAGGGGCGACCAGGGTTTAGAGTAGAGGCCCCACTGGAAAGATTGCGCTATTCGACACATATTCTCCATACTATACCGGAATTGAACTTGGGTCTTCTGTGAGCAACGGCAAAGCGCTGAACTGCTACCACAGACGTCATTTTTTAAAAAGTTTAGTTTTAGTAAGAGTTTTACGGCACTTGCAACACAATAAGGTCATATAAATGCCGAAGGTTAGAGGTGTTACAAGAGAGTAACAAACCAAAAAGAAGGAGGAGAGAAAAGGACGATAGATGTTTGATAGGAAAGAAGGAGAAAACCACACCAGAGCACCCGCCAACCACCCACTAGAAGTGAGTAAATCCAGACAGAAACTACAAAGTCACATAATTAGAAGTAAAACCTACCAGTGGCACCCTCCAACCACTGCATTTCATTGAGAATGAGATTTTATTTGAAATTAATGTCGTACCACTGATACTGAAAGGGATTTGAGACTACACTACAAGATAGGCTACCTATCATTTTACTGGCATCTGTCACGCAGCAGTTTTGCCGAACTGCTACATGTACACCAAAGATGCCAGTAAAGTGATACATGTGTGATGTATCTAATAGGCTCAAATCCCTTTCTCTTTAACACTAATGACCTTGGTTCGATTCTAACGTGGGGTGATTTTCATTATAAATATCAAGCATCTTGTTCTTCTTGTTGGGATGTTGTGTCACTTGCAGCTCTGGTTGACCTCGACAGACTGGAATAAAAGTAAAACCTGTCTCCTAAATTTTCTGAATTGTGTCGATAGGGGCGTGAAACACTTACATTTAAAGAATCATTATAAATACGACTTAAGACACACACAAATTTTAAAATGAAAAATAAATTTAATAGGATACATTTATCCCCAGGTCTCATGGGCACATATTTCCCTTCATACGCAACTGCAGCAAAAAGCAGCACGAAGCCATCACTTCCGGAAATTGCCAAAACAAAGGAAGCCAAGCAGTTAGCAGGGGTCACTCCGTACAAGGTCGTTCGGGGGTCAAGGGACGTTGCTTGGCGACCAAAATGGAACCCTAAATGGAGACCGGATATGGCCGTTAAGACAGCTAGGTTGTACAAAGGGGAGAGCAGAGGGAAGACTATTCTCATTTGGTGCATGTTTTTTGCAATTTGTCTTTCAGTTGCAGTTGCTATGGGGAGTTTTTTTCAGTAGTTTTCTAGTCTGATTCAAGCAGAGGGCTTTCAAGAACTGGTAAAAAAAAACATTTAAAAAAACAAACTACGAGACTGTGATGTAAGTGTAAATTAAGTTTGCCTATCCACTTTTGTTTTATCTTTGCATGCATTTACAGGTAGGCCTATGATGAATGTTTGACTATGTATGTAGTATGTGTATGTCATGTATGTAGGCATGTGAGTGACAGATGGAGTGAGAGTGTGTGTGTGTGAGAGTGTGTGTTTGTTTGTGTGTGCGTTTGTGTATATAATATGTGTGTGTGTTAATGTGTGTGAGTTAATGTGTGTGAGTGTGTGTGTGTGTGTGTGTGTGTGTGTGTGTGTGTGCGTGTGTGTGTGAGTGTGTGCGTGCGCACGTGCGTGCATGCAAGCATTTCCTCTAAGTCGTATGTGGATCAACAATGCCATTTTCAGAGTGCTCAGTACAACCCACACATGACACAGGCTAGTATGAATGAATGAATGAATGAATGAATGAATGAATGAATGAATGAATGAATGAATGAATGAATGAATGAATGAATAAATAAATGAATGCACACAGCCAGCTTATCATAAATTAGATCTAAACTACATTACAGGACCACATGATGTCACTAGCGGACCAGAAAGTAGGGCGATTTTCCAGTGGATTCCGTCTTTCACTGCCCAAATTAGACAATCCAATACGCTCGTCTCTTCCTATGAGACAGAGTGTAAAACTCACAAGCAACAAAAATCAAAGACTCCCCCCCACCGCCCCCCTCCAGAAGATCGAACCTGGGCCATGTGACCATAGGCCAACAAGGCACCAACTAAGCTAATTCTTTTCAATGCAGGTGTTTTACACCCCAATCAGCACAATCTAGATCATTTAGAAGGCGGGCTTCTGACTTTGTCAGTAAGAGCCAACCTCGGCTGAGTGAGATCAAACATCCCAGCTGAAAACAGGGATACTCAATAAAAAATTTTCCCAATACGGATCGAACTGCAGTCTCCTGCGTGGTACAGCTAAGCACCTTACCACGACACCACAGACGCGGGTACTAAGCTAAAGGCGTGCATAGAAATTTCCATCAAGAAAGTTTTCTGATGTGGAGATCACACTCACTCTAGAGTTGAGGGCTGCCATAAATGGCATTCCATACTACTGGTCACCGGTACACAAACTTCATACAAGATATAGGCTCATTCACTGCTGAGTTGTAGTCAATGACAACAAAAAAATTATATGAAATCAACACTTTTCCAAGTTTATTTCACATTTTCTTGTCCTGTCGTTCATGTTTTTTTTACATTTTCATAATATTATTTTTTGACAACATACACACATTGTTCACACACAATGTTCACGTATGTATTAATACATTGATGCGGTATCACATAATTTGTACAAAATAATAAAAATTACACATGAATAAACTTCTTTTTTTATGTCATGTCAGTGCCAAAGATAAGAGGTTTCACTAGGGTAATACAACAAAGAAAAGTAGGGGAAGAGATAAGGAAAACAGATGTATGTTTGACAAGAAAGAAGGAGCAAACTACACCAGAGCACCCACCAAACACCCACATTATGGGTTATGTTTTCTTGTGTGTATGATGAAAATGAAATATGTCATGGTTAGGCTGTTTCCATGGTATGCAAAAGATGTGTTTGATTCCAGCAAAGGGGGAAGATATTTTATCAGGTCATTATCATCATCCAGTGCCAGATCTGCGACAGACATTGGCGATCATGGTTCTCCATTCATTATCCTTTGCTCGGACGCTCTTAAAAAAGCTACGTTTCCCTGATCTTTCCCCGTTACCCATTTATTTAGGTTCCCTAAGTAGGTTGCTCTGGGCCTACCCCTGCCTCATTTGCCTTCAATTTTGCTAGTGAGAGCTAGATGTTCAAGACCTTTATTGAGTAAGTAAGACAAACTTTATTGATCCAGGAGGGAAATTCTGGAGCATTTCTGCTTTTCCTTTGGGATGACATATTCCAAGTAGCCAAGGTTGGCCCTGACAGTGACAGGCCAGGTGGAAACCCCCCTGATTGCAAAATGATGTTAATTAAGTGTGTTGAAGGGGGAATAAAACATGATCAGTGAGAGAGAGACAGAGTCTCCGCAGGCTAATAATAATAATAGATAGCATTTGTATAGCGCATATCCCCGCTCAACAGCAGGCTCTATGCGCTTTACACTATATTATTACCCCAGCAGACCATAGAACACTCCGAAACATTCTCAGCTTCCCAGGAAGCATACAGTGCAAGCAGCCGATTAAGCGCTCAAACACTAACAAACTGACAAGATCTTTCGCTGTCTATAGCCGGGTACCCATTCCCTCCTGGGTGAAGTGAGGAAATTAGTGTAAAGTGCCTTTCCCAAGGACACAACGTCGGGCCCTTGACGGGATTTGAACCCACGACCTTACGGTTGCGAGTCCGAGAGCCTAACCACTAGTACTACATGTAAAAAAGGGGGAATGAACACAATCATTTTAAAAAAAAGTTTTATCAAATTTTGGGTGCTTTTTTTTTGCCCTCATCAACACAAATTAGATTTTTTAAGAGGTGGTATTCTGACCAGGGCCAACCTGGAATGAGAGGGATACAACATCCCAGCAGAAAGAAAGAGAAACTCGATAACAAAAATTATCTCCACTTAGGAATCAAACTCAGAGTTTTCCGAGTGCAAAAGTAAAGTGTCTAACCTCTACACCACAGATGCCCATACAATGAAAGACCTGGGCCAACATTAGTCATCAATTTTCAAGACAAAGCTACAGGTCACTCATATCAATGTGAAGACTGGATGAGGCCTGAAAACTGTTCAGACTAAAACTGCAGTCATTCGTCTGTGAAGGTACCATGATGTGGGACAGATCGGAGAAACTGTCCGTACTTATGTTGTACTGAGTGCTGACACTGGGCTCTGAAGGCACAGCTTTCGGATCTCCATTCTCAAACACCGATGACGCACCGCACAAATCAGAGGTGTCCTGATGAGGAAAGTGCCATTGTATCAGAGCATCACTCGGCTTAGTCAAACATTCGTCGCTGAGAGTTTTTTCACATTGTAAAACATCTCTGTCTCTTATTGCACTTTCTTCATCGTCAGGGATATCCAAGTGAATGACTTTGTGTCTCTGAAGCTTTGCATTCTCAGAAAACGAAGCTCCACAATCCTGGCACGAGTACGGTTTACGGCCACTGTGTACGTTCATGTGCGTCTTGAGATTGGAGGACTGAGACGTAGCGTAGCCACAAACGTTACACTTGTACGGCTTCTCCCCTGTGTGTCTCCTCATGTGGGACTTGAGACCATTCGAGACGGCAAAAGATGAGCCACAGATTTCGCAGACATACGGTTTTTCTCCTGTGTGCGTCCGTAAATGGTTCTTCAGTTTACTAGATTCAGTGAAGGAGGCAGAGCAGACGGAACACTTGAAGGGTCTCTCGCCCGAGTGAATTCGTAAATGAACTGTCAGGTGGGACTTATCTGCAAAACGAGCTCCGCATGAGTCACAATTATACGGTTTTTCGCCAGAATGAACCATCTTATGGCGTGAGAGCTTCGCAGATTCTGAAAAAGACGCACCACATTTCTCACATGTGAACTTACGCTCACCAGAATGGACTCGCATGTGTGACCTCAAATTGGAGGAATTAGCAGCTGTAAACTCACACAAGTCACATTTGTATGGCCTCACTCCAGAGTGAACTTTCATGTGGCTTTTCAGACTAGATGAGACAGTGAACGACGAACCACATACCTCACACACGTAGGGTTTTTCTCCTGAGTGAGACCTCTTGTGATTCTTCAACTTCGTAGACTCGGTAAATGCTGCATCACATTCATCACATTTAAATGGCCGTTCCCCAGAGTGGATGCGATAATGAACAATGAGGTGAGAACGATCTGCAAATGACGACTCGCATTCCGTACAAGTAAAACGTTTCTTTCCAGAATGAACAAGTTTGTGACGTCCCAGCTTTGCTGAACTTGAAAAAGAAGCCGAGCACACATCACAGACAAAACTCTTAGAAAGATAGTGAGTCTTCATGTGTGCGCTGTACCGGCCCTTCTGGGAAAATGTCTTCTCACAAATGCTGCACTTGTGTACACTCTTTCGTGCGTGGGTTTTCAAGTGACATTGAAGTTTCGAGAAACTTGGGAAAGAAGCCTTGCAAATCCCACATTTTGCTTTGTCAGGACTTAGCTGCTTCTTGCCGTGTAGTTTGGGGAGTCTGGTCAGGTTGCTTGGACATTCCAAGGGCATATCGGTACTAGAATTAGAACACTGCAGAAGAGAAGCTTCAGTATCAGCATTCATCTTCGACTTTGACAGAGAATCGTCTTTACATTTCTCATCATGCCCTTCATCATCAGAATCATTCTTGCTCCTCTTAGTAACCGCAGTTCGAGAAGAAAATTCAAGTCCATTTTCATTTTTTTCTTTGCACAAGCTATTTTCCATTTCAGTTGAGGCAGAACAATTTCTGCCAGCCAAGTAATCTTTCTGACCTTTCCTTACACAATCTCGGTTTGACACACGGCCTGGCTCACAGCTCCAGTCATTGACAGTGACAGCATTGCTTCCAGAATCATGAAAGTTAGCAGTGCCTACATGTAACTGTTCAGCGTCGGACTCTCCAACAGTGCTGCTTAGAGTGCAAAAGGAACTTTGAGAACAATTTTTACTGGAGGTGGCCATTGTGTTGTCAAACGAATCAGCCTTCTTATGTTCACCATTTGTGCCACTGACACCACTAGCTGTAACTATTTTAGTGTGAAAATGTTCATTACACAAAGTCACTGCACCCTGAGTATCCCCTGTGTTACTATACACATCATTTATGTCATCCAATCCACCTCTGTCCGTTGCTGCTGGGCAGCTAAAACCCAAGACTTGTGTTTTCAGCTGATGTTCCGAGACCTCCTCCGTTTCTTCAGGATAATTCTCTAAATAAACTTGGAAATTCTTAAACTTTACAAAGACCCTCGGCAGACAAGCATCTTCAAACTCAGAGAGAAAACTGTCGAGTTCCTGCATTTCTAACCTTCCAAATTGAAGGTGTTTCTCCGAACTGTTGTTGAATATTTCATTGTGCACGACCATGAGAAACACAGACTTGATGCTCGCATCTCCTGCTGGATTCTTTAGCATTAATTCCTTGAATGTCTTCCAGTCTTTAGTTGTTGTATCTAAACTTTCCATACGCTTACAAGAGTGGTAGGCCTTCTCACCACGCTTTGTCGTCATGTTTTAGCTCCCTGCCCTTAGCGTCATTGTAGGCACTCACGGAAGAAGTAGAAGGATACGGGTGTGCTCTGCATGCCTGTCTTTCTTGTCACTGAAAAGTAAAAATAAAATAATATCTATCTATATATATATTTATTTCATATGCATTTGAAATCTTATCATGCAAGTTCAAGTTTTAAAAAAATAAATCTTAAAGCACCTGAATCTTCAACCAGATGACTCAATCTACGTTTTTTTCCCATGCACTGAAAGTAGTGAAAGCACCACTTAAAAACATATTCCATACAGAGTTGCAATACCCTGAGCCCCTAAACATAAAATCTCATCAAATTAGGAGTAACAACATATCATTTTAATGATCATGTGGCCAATTATCATCCAAGAACAATGAATGACACGGACACATGGATGAATCTCAATATGATGTGTAATAGGCTACCTCCTTACTTTGTAGTACATAAATTAACTCATAAACTAGAAGTATGTATACAGAGAGAATGGGTTCAACTCCTTCACCGCCCGGCCCTTGACTGTCTCTGGCTTCACTACAAATTGAAGCAAATCAACTTCCTGTTTCTCAAAAATCACCTTTCCTAAACATTTATTCTCCGCCCCACTCCACTGAATTACTGACCCCTCAAGACAGTACGAGAATTTTTATGCCTGTAAACTGAGAGTTATAAATAATGAAACTCTCTCACACCTCATTCATTAAGTCAGATCAGTGACGGCGTTAACACCTTTTTAAACAACTTTCACTTAAAAGAAGCAGGATCAATTACAGTTGTCACAGATGAGCTGATGTCATAGGGGGAGTGAGGAAAAGATCAACTCATCCAAATTTCAACTTTACCATTGGGCATTGGGATCACAAAAATTCAAAGGACATCACAACTTTGCCTCTACTCATTTTAATGTAAGAGAAAATGGCAAGAACCGGAAAGGTTACTAAGCTGTTTTAGCTCATTAATCACCACCTACTAACGCCTGTGTGTGTGTGTGTGGTGTGCGCGCGAGAGAAAGAGAGACAGAAGAAAGAAGAAGTTGCGAGCATCTACCAGCAGCTAAACTAACAAAATATATATTATACTAACAAAGTACCTTTATGAAAAACATGCTATTTCACTGGAGCCAATTACATTATGTTCCCAGGTAGAGTAAAACTATTGCTTTAAATAACCATGATCTTTATTATCACCAATGTACAATGCCTGTTATTAACAAACTTTAGATCACTAAAACCCCTTGAAAACCCTATCCGTATTCCCTGGGGTCATTTTGTACCCCCGGGGTTGTATTCTTTACATTTTAGAATAATTCTAGTATCAGATCTCTTTGAAACTTTCAGTATTTCTCAAAAAAATCAATTGAATGATTGCTATGCAAAACGTACAGATTGGATTAACGAGTAAATTTCCTCTTTGGAAAGTGGTGGCACAGAGTTCCCCGCGTCGTATGGACACGATAGTAAAACATGACGTAGGGTAAAAAAATTAGTGTATCAGGAGTGGGAGTCTGTCGGTAGTTCCCACCTCCCTTATTTTCACCTATTTTATTCGAAATTGGCAAAATACTAGATCGAGGTAATCGATATATGTCAAAATCACATTATAATGAAACACTACAACCAGGCCTAGTGTTGTTAATTGCAAACATGAAGTGCGTCTTGGAAATTGACCGACGTCCAAACTGTCGCCATTGTTGTTTTGGTCGGAAGTGGAAGTACAATTTGGCCAACCATTCATTGATAAAATTAGCCTCTATATATCTATTCAACCTAAATTATATTGCGAAGTTGGAAAGTGAACCATTTTCTGTGCCATTTACTGTTATGCGCTGTTCACACATACAGGAGTAGAGTCGACGAGTAATTCGCGATAAAGAATAATGCCAAAATTTGGTTTTATCGTGACGAGCATCTGGCCATGACTGTTGGCATTATTCATTATTGTGTCAGTGAGCACTTGGGGAGATGCTTGCCAAGCAATAATTTAGGACGGTGAGCATCTTGCCAAGCAATTAGTTTGAATCCTGGCCGCTTGCAGAGCCAAGAAACATAGCGGCAGAGTAAAATTTCACACGCCGACAAACTCGCCGACCATGTTGAACATCTTGCCGACCCATCGCCGAGTTAGTCAGCGTGCAATTTTATAACATATAAAGAAGGGGAGGGGGGGGGGGGATGTTTTAGCTCATTCCTTCAACATGTCTCATATGACAAAGACGATAGATGCGTACTTCATGTATACATCTGGTGCCCTTGCTGTTGTGCTTGTGCAAGAAGAGGAGAAGAGGCGGACGAGGAGAGGAGGAGAACCTGTTGGATTAGACCACGGCTACTTTATTAAGAAGACCTCTGTACGGACAGTTTGAGAAGCTGATGGCTGAACTGCAAGTCGAAGATGTGGCATTCTTCAGGAACTTCCTCAGAGTTTCTCCAGAGTATTTCCAAGAACTACTAAGAGAAAATTGGCCCCACCATCCACAAGGCAAACACTTGGCCGGAGAGGAGACAGCAGACTGCAAGGAAAGTGCTCAGGAGATGCCACCATCAGAGATGTAGATCTTGGAGTAGAAGACATTCTGGGCTCTTCTCAGAAGCAGCAGGAGCAGGACTGGGAGCAGCAGCAGAAGTATCAAGAAAGCTAATGAAGGCAGGCTGGACGGCAGGGCTTGCACACATGAATAAGGAATGGTGTGTGCAGACTGGTATCTAGCATCAGCAGCAGCAGTCTTTCGCGTAGACTTCTACGGAGGCATAGTCACGTTAGTAGATGGTCGATTTGTAGATAATAGCAGGGACAGTGCGCTGCGAGTTTATTTGGCAGGGGCGTGAAGGTCGCCGTGTCATGGTGCATGCTCGTCTTGTCAACTTTTGCACGCTGTGCTTGAGTAACTCAGACTCTCCGCGCAAGATTTTTACACCAAAAGCAATAATTTAACCCGCAGAGTATGAAATTTAACTCGGCTACCATTCAGATCTCGTCGGCGTGTCACTGTCACTCTGCAGCATTGGAAACTTTGCACGTCGAGCTATTTTTGACTCTCCTCGAGTCCTCCCCAAGTTTTCCCCAAGCGAATTAATGAGTCGGCGACTCACTTTTTGCTCAGCGAAAATTTTCAAGTTTGAAAATTTCTGCAAGCTCTCCTGCTTCCTGTGTAATAATTTCACATGGCGACTATGAAATATAACTTCAGGGAGGGAGGCCGATGGCTCGACAAAATGTGTCCAGAGCAGCCCCGACCAGCTGGACTTAGAAATTTGGCGCTTTTTTGGTAGTTCCCACCCCGCAATTGTTATTCGCGGGTCTTGGTCCCAAGAGTAGGGGGGTTTCAGGTTGCCCCCCTGCCCCTGCCCTTTAAAAAAAAATAAAGAGGGGGGTTTCAGGGGGCCCTGATTTTACAATAATTTGAAGTTTTGCGGTTGTTAGGTTTGATATCTAAAGGCCACCTCTATTCTCACCCGGAGTGAGAATAGTGCAGGCGAGTCTTGTGGCTATTCTCACCCGGTGCGCGTTCACCAAATTTTGCGTTCACCCTAAACCACAGAATTCTACACTGTGATAACAGAAAAATTGTAGAATTCTGTGCCGTGAACAAACGTTCCATTACAACAGTAGCCTACTAAAAGCGTACAATGAGTAGCGCGAGAATTTCCAGGCAAAACAAAATGGCGACCCGCGTAGTTTGGCTCGATTCGAAAAGTTAAATAGCCGTAGCATCTTTGTAGACAACCAAATTAATTTACTTTTGTGTTTTAACATCATTTTTTAACTTTGTTTTGGTCAATTTGATCGTCCACACCGATGGACAGTATTCAGAAAGAGACAGAGAGAGAGAGAAGAGGGGAGGAGTTGATCTTGCGAGAACTTCCGGGCGGGTGAGAATAGCCACTTTCATATCTAAATCTAGATCTAGATCTATAACTCTAGATCTAGATTCTAGGCTAATACAGAGTGAAGTCTCAACTCGCCCGAAACAGAAAAAGGGAGGACTTCCGTAACGAGCGACCACTATATGAGACAGAGCAGAATTGAGGGCTAGGGGTAGGGGTAGGGGTAGATCTAGATCTAGGGGTAGGGGTAGGGTTTGGGTTAGTGTTAAAGTTAGGTAGGGGTAGGGGTAGGGTTTGGGTTAGGGTTAAGGTTAGGGTTAGGCCTCTTCTTTATTGTGTTTGATGGGGTGGTCGCTCGTTACGGAAGTGCTTCCCAGAAAAATTTAGGGAATAAATTGGAGGGGGGGGGGACTACCGAAAAGTTGTATAGGCCTACAAGAACTAGGCTAACAAAATCTACCATGAAGAAGTGCTTACGCTTCATTTAAAACTTGAGAATGAGAAATGAGACGCTTGTTTATCTTGTACAGCAGTTCGAGTGATCGACACTCCTTGGTGATAGACCAGGGCCTGCTCCTGTCAATCGCTATGAAAAACTGTAAACGAAAACTGCAAGAGAAAGATGCTCCAAGTTTTAAGACATGAGTGGATCTACAGTAAAAAAACGAAGGCCGTAAAAAAGACACTGAATGTCTGATTTATCGAGTTCAATAGGTGAAAACTAATGCAAAAAAATAGCACTCTTTGCACAAGTAACCTGTTATTTCCTTTTCAACAGTAACCTAAATAATAAGGCTTTTGTTTATTCTAAAAAGCAGGTGTATAATTTTTTTCTTATAAATAGCAGTCTATAGAATTAATTACAACTGAGTGGAATTGGATTTAAGAAGCCTAATCGGCATAGCAAAGTAGATAACTCCAAATCAAGCTGGTCATCGATGCTCAAACGCAAAAAGTCTAAATTCACTTTTCTATTCATTCTCGTAAAACCTCAGACGGAGCACGCATTGCCCTCTGTTATCTCTTCTAGATCTAGAATCTAGATCTAAATGAAAACTGCAGTATGGAATTCAAGGTAAGGTATGGTTATAATAAATTAACAACCAGGGTTACGGGGTAATGTTGAAATGTAGGCTACAGTTCAGCAGTAGAGGCTTATACTTGAGGGTTAGTGTTAGGGTTAGGGGCAGGGGTGTGCCGGTGAATTAAAAAAGCACTTCATATGATATAATATCACACAGGGGGTCAACAGCCATAGGCCTAGAGATAGAAATAAATGCTGTACACTTCTCTATAAACACACTTTTGATAGCCTAATTATATATATTATAATAGAGATGTACCATGCCAGTTAGATATTAAATTTTATAGAGTCAGAGTAGACTGTAGTCTACTGTAGAGTAAGTGATTATAGGCCTCCGGCTCTATTTCTCCAAACGTTTGGGAAAATAAACTTGAACTCTATTTCTCCGAACGGTTTCTGTTCTGGAGATTTGTTGATAATAATTGCGAATGGAGTGGCCCGTGTGTGTGTGAGTGTGCATGTGAATGTGTGTACGTGTGTGTGTGTGTCTGTGTGTAAGGTGTGAACGGGGTGTGGAGGGATATTATTTGGAAGGACTTCCGTAACGAGCGACCACCCCATCAAACACAATAAAGAAGAGGCCTAGACCTAACCCTACCCCTGACCCTACCCCTAACCCTACCCCTAACCCTAACCCTACCCCTACACCAAGCCCTCAATTCTGCTCTGTCTCATAGTGGTCGCTCGTTACGGAAGCCCTCCCTATTATTTTTTACATGACATGAAGGATTTCAGTTTTTGCTGGGTTACTATTAAATGCAAAATAAGTTACTGCCATGGTCAATTAAAATTAGTCTTGTTTTCTCTCACTCAGCACCTTTTGAAGGTATTTTAAAATGAAGTAATAGTCCGGGAATGTTGCCCTAACCACAACTGAAGTATTCTCTGAATATTAAGACATTTAAAAATCTAACTCTAAAAATTGAATTCGATGCAAAAAATGCTTCTTCCCAGTCCTCACAGAATGGCAGAAAAAAAGATGACGCCTAAATCTCGCAAAAAACCTAAAAATATCGAGAACAGAAACCGTTTGGAGAAATTGAGTTAAAGTTTATTTTCCCGAATATTCGGAGAAATAGTCACTTCGTATTTATAATTCAATAAATTCTAATTTTAAAGACCGTAACTCATTCGCTACGTATTATTTTCGGCTTGTGGACGAATTTTTTTCGGGAGGGCGAATGAGATGATGACTGGTCGGCAGTTAAAAGGTCTTTGGGGCCACAAATTCAAATAAATATCAACATATTATATACCAATATTTTCAGTATGGTTTGTAGAATACATCTGTAATGTTTATTTATGTATTTTTCAACTTTGGTTCCTGTAAGAGGCGATTATGCAACACAATTTTGTTTCGATGCAGATAAAATTTGAAAATAAAAACTTTATAATCTTTGGTAAAACTCATAAAATATGTTTGCACCTAGTCAAATGATACATCAAAAAAACCATAAATGAATATCATCATCATCATTGCCTTTCTCACCCTGCACCAGGGTATAGGCCTTTCTTTTTATATTTTTACATTTAATAGAATTGAGAGCCCATTTGATGGTCTGATTCTCATGCCATCACCGCCATGACCATGCTGTACTTTTTAAAATGTTGTAACCAACTGTTTTTCTTTCTTATATTTTCTATCTTCAAGGTGACAGAGTCTACAAGGCTGAAGTTGGGTTACAAAGACTAAATTCTGAGCTGTTCAACATACAGATGATGATCATGACTACCTCAGAGATGATTCTGCCTGTCCCAGAGGACATTTTATCGACTTCTGTTGGCAAGGAATGGTCTTTTTTAAAACAGACTCTTCTCCAGAGTACAATGAAACACCCTGATAATGAGTATTGCCATGGGTGGCTCTTTCCTGCCTTAGGTGGAAACGCAGTAGAGAGTGTTTTGAACAAGTTCACCAAGGATGAAGCAGAAAGCTTTCTCAAAGTGTGTCACAAGATTGAAGACGTTCTCTTTCCTAATGTGCTGTTGATGTACAACAGGGTCCGATTTTTCATGTGTGGTCGTGATGAGAGTGAAAGTGTGGCAGACCACATCAATCGATTAGTTTTGCTGTACAAGGGGTGTGAGTTTGATGATCCGCAGAAGATTATACTCAAAGATGTGATCACTGACAAAGTGGTTGGTGTAGATGCCTCTCAAGTACAGAATATCCTGTTTGGATGTGATCCATGGCTTACTCGCTTATCAGACACACTTGCCTCTAAATCTGTTGGAGATAAAAATGAACGAGATGGTGAAAATGGTGAAACAAATTTTGAACTTTGTAAAGATCATGAAGGACTTGCAAGGCAAGAAGTCATCAACTCAAATGAGCAGATTACAAAAGAGGATTTACAAGTCACGCTTCCTGTGAATCACGAATTTGATTCGAAGGGAAAAGAAAAACTTTTGCAAAATCAAAATCCCTCTTCTGTTTTAAAAATAGATTCTGTAAATGGATCTAAAACCTCTTTGAAAACTGACATGAGAGGTTCTACCTGTAGGCAAAGTCTGGTGGCTGTTGACATAAAATCCTCTGAGGAGGCAGTCCCAGGCATGGATAGGCCTATTTCAAAGAAAGATAACAAAGGTCACTCGACTAAAAGGAATGCTGTTGCTAGCTCCACTCCCTCGGTCAGAAATGAAACAAGTGCACGACCTAAGCGCAAAGTTCAAATTCCCAGCAGACTCCAGTCAGATGAAAACACACTGAAATTACTGAGGTTCAACGAACGGTCAAGGGACATTTGTGAAAAGTCGTCAAAATTAGCTGAGAAAATCCATAAAACATGTGACGTTTCCATGTCAAAGAGACTCTTAGTATCTGACTTTAAGGATGAGAATGCTTACTTCGACAGTGCCAGTACCACTCGAGATAAGACTGTCTCTACCAGACCAATATCATTCGAATCTCCTACAGGTGATGATGTTGAGCGTGTAAAGTTGTCACGGACTACAAAGACTCCTAAACACCACCCATGTTTTAAGTGTGTCCAGTGTGGATTGAATTTCAAAACTCTTTCATTGTTTAAAAGGCACAAATATTCACATAAGGGGAAGAACAGCTTTATTTGTACATTATGTAAAGCAAGTTTTAGCTCGCACAGTAATCTAATCAGGCACAGAAAGACAGAGCATGATAAAAGGGATGACAAGTTTAGTTGTCCTACGTGTGGTAAATTGTTCACTTCAGCTCTGACTCTTCAGGCGCACCAAAACGTTCATAACGTAGAAAGGCCATTCAAATGTAAATTCTGTGGTAAACCATTCAGGTGGAGAGTGTCGCTGGAGTACCATCACAGAGTTCACACAGGTCAAAGGCCCTATTCATGCAAGTTTTGCGACAAACGTTTTTTTGATATCAGTAGCTTGCAAAAGCACCTGAGAATCCACAGCAACAAGAAGAATTTCTCATGTGACTTGTGTAACATGAAGACAAGAACGTTGACTGCCCTGAAGGCTCATGTGCGCAAGCACCTGGATATTTCATGCGTTGGGGATGACCTGAAGCGATACTCTTGTGAAGACTGTGGGAAAACGTTTAAAAACAATGCTAGTCTTAAATGCCACAAATTCAACCACAGCGGAGAAAAGCCCTACTCTTGCGAGGTCTGCGGAGCCACTTTTGTTTGGCTGGCAGCCTACAAGCGCCATTGTCAGACACATACAAATGTAAAGCCGTACAAGTGTGATATTTGCGGAAACTCTTATGCCGATAAAGCTTATTTAAAGAGACATAGACTGGGGCACAGTGGAGAGAGACCATTTAAATGTGAAGTTTGCTCTAGCACTTTCGTCACAGTTTTCAATCTGAAACAACATTCCAAGATTCACTCGAGTGAGAAGAAGTTTATGTGTGAGGTTTGTGGGGCTTCCTTTGTGAGGAAGTGTTACCTGTACAAGCACCGTCGCATACATTATGGGAAGAAAACCCATGCCTGCGACCAGTGTGACCGGAAGTTTTATGAGCCACATCGACTGAGAGACCACAAAAAACGCCATGAAAAGGCTGCCAATCGACTGAAGAAACGTTACATCTGTGAGGTTTGCGGCAGAGTATTTGCCAAAAAGGTTTATCTGACAAAGCATGTCATGACCCACACAGGTAATAAGCCGTATGTCTGCCCCAAGTGTCCGGCAAAATTTGTCGACTCTTTCAAATTGAAGCGCCATATTCGAACTCACGACAAAGGCACTGCCAGGAAAGTACGCTCTCAGTGGCAAAATGGAGCGCACTCAGTGTCCACCACTGAAGCTGTGATATCCAACCTTACAGCGCCAAATACCGCTCAAACGGTTGTCGGAGCTGCAAGTTCACAGTCGGAGCTTGAACACGTGGAGATACACATTCAAGGCGTGAAGGAAGAGGTAGAGAAGGAAATCATCCAACTGGTCAGCGGGGAGAAATTGGGCTCTGACCACGCTGTAGTGCAGGAAGGGGAGATGATTCAGTATGTGGTGGAGCCGAGCGTTGAGTCCAGTGATGCGTTGCAACAGATTATTGTTAGACATGCTGGGCTGCCAGAACAGTCGGAGGACTCTGGAGAGTACAAGATAATCATTGTAGAAATTCCATGAATTCCACAGTCAGAGAAGGTCTTCTTAGTTTCTGTCAAAGTAAAAGTTTTATACAGGCACTTTCAACACAATTAGGTCACGTACATAAGTGCCAAAGATTAGAGGTGTTGCAAGAGAGTAATTACAAAGAAAAAAAGGAGGAGAGATGATGACTAAAAAGACGGATAGGAAAGAGGAGCAAAACCATACCAGAGCATCCATGGAGGATGTCTTGATTTCGCAAGATTATCATTGAGATTCTATGAATTTAACAAGTTTTAGAATGGGATCAGTTCCTTGAGTTGATTAACAAAGGACAAGATCTGTAAAAATCTCAAGGGGTCAGTGTAAAGTTTCTGTAATTTCATGAGTGATTTGTCAGATTCAAACAACAAAGTGTAATAGTAATAGAGTACTATTTGTAGAAAGTAGGAATTCCTTGAGAAAACATAAATATTTTTGTTCTGGTTTTAATTCCTTTAAAAATCATCATAATATATTGTAGAGCTAAATGTAAATCTTGCTGAATGATTGAATGGGTTTTTCTGATGTTGTGTGCAATCTATTTCTTGTTTATCATATGAGAGAGAGAGAGAGGGGGAGAGAGAGAGAGAGAGAGAGAGAGAGAGAGAGAGAGGGAGGGAGAGAGAAAGAGAGAGAGAGAGAGAAATTTTTTTGTCAGAACAAAGTAAATTTCTGTTCTCATCAATTCCAACCAGGAGAATGAATTTTTTTCAATAAAAGAGACCATGAAATCTTTACAATGTCTGCACTCATTCAACTGTCTTTTTATCCAGTTGCTACTCTGGACTTTGCATGAGATGATGTGGTGAGGAGATAGACAGAATACAACCCCCCCCCCCCCCCTCCAAAAAAGTATCACTTTTGCTGTCCTCTCCGATATGATCCAGTGATACGAAGAAAAAAGAAGAAGAAGGGTATTTGACCATCATCCTGTGTGATGTCCTTTTAATTGAAGTCCTCTGCCTATAGATCTATAGGCCTGTATTAAGTAAGAGCGGTTTTCCAAAACTCAGTAAGTCGATTTTGACAGGCCCCTGGTTTCACCACGATGCCACACACATACATTGTCTGAAACCACCATATGCACTGCTCACAGCCGAAAGTTCCGTATCCCGTATGCTAGCATTATTAAAATCTAAATCCTTATATACTCGTGTGCACATAATAATACATAAATGGCTCATGTTTACATTATAAGCGTGTGAGGCATCGTGCTGAAATCAGACGCTTGTCAAACTTGACTTAATGAGTTTTGGAAAACCACGCTTCATATATTATATTATAATGCCTTTTATCCGATATCTGCTTCTGTACACACAGTCTGGCATGATGCCATCTACACTTCTATGTAGGCCTACTTGTACTTGTGTGTTCAAGTTTGACGTTGGAACCGTTCTTTTTCTTCATCCTTTCACTTTCAGGATTTTTTGTGTTTTTTGCTCTACTCTCAATCTTGTGTTTGTGGGAAATATCCTCTGATCTTGAAATAATTCTCTCACTCACTGTATGTCAAGCCATGGATTTTTTTACTGTAGGTATTTTTACGCCCCCATCATCACAATTTTGATTATTATATTTATTGAGGAGTCGTCAGGGCTAACCTGTGTTCATATTATAGGCCTATGATATAATATGAACAGTTGTAGCCTCAAGTTACCTCAATAGCGTGGTAAACATCAGGTCATCATTGACTGAGAGACCCTGAGTCTGTGGTTAGGCATTTTGCCGCCTCTCACCATAGTACAGAAGACCTGAGGTTTACAGATAATCTTGCGCTCAGTCTTTCTGTTGGGAAAGTGCATCCCTGTCAGTCTCAGCTTGACGTTCAGTGACAGGCAGGGTCAAGCCTGCCTTCTAAATGATCTCAGTGTCAACGGGGGTGTAAAAACGCTACAATTTTCTTTTTAAAGCCATTGGAAGTTGGAGGGGACTGCTGGATGGTTCCGTTTCACTTCTCTTTCCCATAGATATTTGTTTGTCTGTCTTACGTTTTTCCTGGTTATGACTGTTTTTAATTAAGACCATGACTCGACTGAATGAGCTTCTCTTCACCCCAACAGCCAAACTCAAACAAATCTTGTTTTTGTTTCTCTGCATTAATCGGCTGTTATCATACTGAAGTGTATCTCTTAACTCTAACAATCAATGAGATACTTGTAAGTTAAAGCTTTGGGAAAGGCACTTTATTGGGAATTTTGAGGTAGGCAGCCCTGCTTTGCATGATTTTCCCAATTGGCTCAGTCCTTTCTCAGAGATGGACATTAAACTCGGAGGTCCAGCCCCTGCCACTAAAATAGCCTTATGGTATAGTTGTAGTGTTGATAGGGGAGTTAAACCAATGCCATGTCACAAAACATACACCAAAAAAGAGTTAAATAGAGCTTAAGAAGACGCTAGTCTAACATCACCCCGTATGTGACCAAAAAGTGCTTGTTGTGAGAAGAGTGAAGGCTTCAGTCCTGCTTCATCTAGATCATAGTAAAAAGTACTGCAAAAACCTACAGAGGCACCGTCTCTATCTTTCTCCTTCCTCAGGCCTCTATAGAATAGAATAGTGGTTAGACTCTCTGCTGTTGCAACCAGAAGTGGTGAAATTTATTCTTAAATGGGAAGTTTTGGGGGTTTCAAAAAAAAATTTGAATATAATATAATATATCTTTATCCTTCTGCTGAGATGTTGCATCCAACTTGGAACGGGTTGGCGCTGACACTGACTGTCAGGCAACTTGAAGTCGAAGCAGCGCTCCTCCAAAACAGTCTAAACTGTCACTTGTGCCAATGTGGGTAATAAAAGCTAATGATCACCCCTTAATAAAACAAACAAGCTTGAAAACTTCTAATGAGCTAGATTGAATAGAGACAACATTTTGTGGTAGTGTTCTTTAAAAAATTTATAATATGAACACATTGTGTTCAATTCATTTTGATACATTCATAGAAGGCCAACATATAAAATCAATACAAAATCATTTCAAAATAAGCCTACATCATTGTCAGATGTATTCATTCAGCACCAATATGAGAATAGGGATCACCAAATCTGGACATTACATAAATGAGTGCAAATGAAACTGCATTCCCAAGCATACAAACTTGTCCTAATGACATCATGAAGCGGGTACAAGCAAAAAACGTAGACATAGATACATGTATTTAATTTTAATATATGACTATGATGAGTTCCACTTGAATGAGATAGAAAATGATTGATAGTAAAAATTTCCAGTGTTCTTCTGCACTTTATAAAATTCTTTAAGGGGGTGTAGCTATGGTCAACACCCAAATGCTGTAGTTTTTGGTCTAATGCTTGCTTTTCTGCATCAAAGGGGGTGACATAGTACAAAAAAAGGTTACCAAGCAAAAAATTCAAGATTTTAGCCATAATAATCTCGAGCCATCAAAAATAAAGGATTGATTCAGCATTTTTAAAACCAATTTTATATTTTGTCAATCATCAACACTCATCAAGATAGAAGCCTAATATTTGGCATGGCGATTACTGTTGGTAGGTAGAACAACCTTACAGAGCCAAATTTTAATTTTCTGTACTAACTCGTGAGCCTTACAGTCCTTGTTATGCACTACATTCAGGTCTCCAATGTTTTAAGATTTTTTAAAATAAAAAAGGCCTAAAACTCAAATGTGTACCATAAACAGCAAAAATGCTCCTGTAAAGTTATAGGGAAATGTGTATAAAAGATTGTGTGCAAATTTGAAACACTTCTGACAGTAACTTTCTGAGATCTACTCAATATAGTTTTGCTACCTGGTCAGATAAACAATTCTGAGAAAACTGCAAAGAGAGATAATTTTTGGTGAAGATTTTCCTACATTGCTGCCTCTCTTAAATGCGTTTTCCAGCTATTTATAAGTTTGATAAGGAATTAGGCTTCTAAAGATGGATCCTTGATATTGATATCTATTAAGATACTCCAAAATCCGAAAACTGATATTTTTTCAAAATTTTTACTGATCTGACCAGTGGATCCCCTTAAATTAAAAATAGATGTATATATAGCAAACAAATTAATGTTTAACATGCTACAATTACCCATACAAAATAAGCTACGGTATCGATAGGCTATTTAAAGTTACAAAAAAACTTTTTAAAGTAGACTCATTATTGTTGGTAAAATGTGAAAAAGTAGATCACTTCATTAAATTTATTTAAATGACCATTGTCATACTACTTAATTTCTGACAGGTAAGATCGAGGATAAAAACAGTCATTTTTCATTTTCACATTTATCCCCCCCCCCCCAAAAAAAAAGAGCTGCAGTTTGAAGGTGATATATAAGTTAAATTAAAATAATAGGCAATACCCCTAACTTTATGAAACTTTATGTCTATGAAGAAACTTCACAACAACAAAAGTTTAAAAACGCCTTGTCAGGGGAGCACACCAGGGTGCCCTACTTCATATAGACCCATAGGCCTATGTATGGCACCATGGGGAAATCAGGGGCTCGTCAAAATAGTGACATTGAAATCGAAGGAACTGACATTTTCAGAAATATTTCTCAATTTTTTTTTTTGCCCGGAGTCTTTTATGTCCATTTAAAAACATTTCTGTGAAAATGTTACTGAAAAATATTGATCATAGGCACACGAAAAAAAAGTAAAAATTGTGCTTGCTCAAGCTTTGAAAGTCATTAAAGTTAAAGTTTGATGGCCATTTTTTCGCTGATTTTATCTCTGACTGGGTGACCCCAACCTCCTTCATACTCGTTATATCCACCTGTCTTCCACATCAATAAAATTTGGGCTTTAGATTAGTCTTCCTTTTTGTCAATTTCGTTGATTATCTCTGCCTTTAATTCAAGTGAGAAACATTTCCTTTTGGTTTTTTTGGAAGCTATCTTTTCCTCGGTTTGTTACTTGTGCTGTCTATCGTACCGGTAGGCCTACTGTAGAACTGGAGAAATGATGCCTGCGTATGCCTGAGCATCACCGATCACAATTCAATGATCAATGGATCAGGAATCACACACTACACGCTCTCCTCTTCTTTGACTTTTTGGTCTAGTCTAGGTATAGGGCTACGGCCTATACGCTCTTATACTGAGCGTCTAGGCTATGGCACATCACTTTTAGTGTGGCTCAAATAACGCATTTCTACGCACTCCGCACCATCTCACTCATAACTGGACTGGCCAATCACAACGCTGTACCGCTGACTGTTTGGATCTCACCACCTACAGCCCCCCCTCCCCCAACCCCTTCCCCACAGCTCAAGCTCGCTCGATCTTTCCCACTGTATCCAAGTCCGGGTCTTTCCTTGCCCTGTTATACCTGAGCACTGGCAAATGAGTTTACATTTACACAGAGAAAAAAAAGGGGGTTCTGGTAAGGCCCCGCTGTAGGGATGGTCCCGCTGCAGCGGGTGCAGCTATAGTCAGGTACTACTGTACTGTGCAGTAACTTTTGTGTCTTCTCAGAACTTCTCTCATTATATTATATTATAAATTTAGACGGTTTTGGAGGGGGGGTTTTCAGCGCCAACAAAATATTTTTCAAGAAACCAGATAGTAAGCAGATAACAGCACTGAATGTTCAAGGGGAAGACAACACTTAAAATGAATAGGCCCTACATGTTACAAGTAAGACAAAACATACACTAAAAAGTGGACCTAAAAAAGCCATTCTGTATGTATGTATAGTATAAGGTTTTACGGCGCTCGCAACTGCTGATGTCACCATGAGAATCATATAACAGCACACCAACCTTTCATTAACAACATAATCTCTAGTACTAGTAATTAATTAATAACAGCAGAAAAAGTTTTACTGTAGGCCACACTCACTCTTAGGTTCTACAACAGAAAAAGTTTTCACCATTTTGCTACCCTAGAATTACAAACTAGGCCACTGTCTGCTCAGTAGGCCTACCTAGTTTTGAGAAATTAGACATACAAAATTTTTTGTTGCGCAAAATGTCAAGCTTTTTCGAAAGCAATTCTTTGAATACAATCTTGATAACAGTTGAATAATCTTACGATTTTGATAGAGCCGGTAGAACATTTGGTTTCTGACCTCATGGTCTTGGCAACTCGAAACGACCGAAAGGGTCAGATAGAACTTTGTAATTCTAAGGAAGCGATTTATAAGCCACATTCACATATATATATGAGTTCACAAAAAAAGGTTCACCGTAAGTCATATTCACATAATAAGCATAAGTTAGAAGACATGAGTTCCATTCCTCTGTGGGGAAGTTTTAATTTATCAGGTATGCATACATCTCCATCTATCCACTGGGATACTGTAGATCTCTATCCCTCTTAGCATGAGGTTGAGTCGGCCCTGATAAACAGGGTTGAAGTCAGCCCACTTCCAAAATGATCTGAATTGTGTTGATAGGGGCACACAAAAAAACTAACTAAAAACAAATTGCAAACAATCTTTTTTTACAACAACCATTGATCAAGCTCTATGTTGTGTCAAGGTGGTTGTTCACATAAAGATTCTGAGAGAAAGACATGACGGCAGAGATAGGCACAAGGGATGGGGTGACCAAGAGAGGTTGTAGTTCTGGTACTACGGGCATCATCTGATGGTCATGTGGGGTCATTTGGGGGTCATGGGGGTTCATATGAGTGTCATGTCGTGTTATTTGGGGGTCGTGTGGGTTCATACGGGTATCATGTCGCGTTAGTTGGGAGTCGTGGGGGTTCATATGGGTGTCATGTCGTGTTATTTGGGGGTCGTGCGGATTTATATGGGAGTCATGTCGTGTTATTTGGGGGTCGTGGGGGGTCATCGGTGGGTGAAGCATCATGTGGGTTTCATGTGAAGTCATTTGAGAATCATGTGTTGTTATCTGGGGGTCTTGTGGGGTCATATGGGAGCTGTGGTTGATCTGGATGTTGTGTGGGGTCAACTGTGGATTGTGAGTACCCAGCGGCAGGCTGTGGACGGATGTTGACTTGTCCGGGTCCATACAACTGCTGGACAGCTCCGGCAAGGGATGTTGGATGTGGTGAGACTCCTGATGCTGCGGCTGGTGGGGGTGGTGGAAGAACTCATGGTCTGGCGAATGCAGGGGTTTCAGGTCAAGTTTGGGTGGTGAGGGGGGTTCAGGAGATGGGTGCTGCTGTTGCTGCTGTGTTTGTAATTGGTGCAGTGGTTGCAGCGGTGGTTGAGTTGGAGCTTGTGAGACTGCTGCTAAAGACTGATATGCACTTGGGAACTGATCTGCTCCTCTCTGCTGTCTGTCTGACTTTGCGTGGATTTTCTGGTGGCGCTTCAGTTTGGATGAGTCACTGAATCTTGAGAAACATATGTTGCAGACGTGAGGTTTGACACCAGTGTGTGTCCTCATGTGACGGTCCAGGTACGACTTTACGGCAAAAGATGAGCCACACACTTCGCACGTGTAAGATTTCTCACCAGTGTGGATTTTCAGGTGGCGATGAAGAGAAGAGTTATCGGCAAAAGTGGTATTGCAGGTGTTGCAGGCATATGGTCGTTCCTTCGTGTGAGTCCGCCTGTGTCTGGTCAACGTGGAGTGATCGGCAAAGTTCGAGCCACAGAAGTCACAGTAGTACGGTTTCTCTTGGGTGTGGGTTCTCATGTGTCTCGTGTACGCCGCGGTCCACGCAAAACTTGCCCCACACAGGTTGCAGTAATACGGCTTTTCCCCGGTGTGCTTACGAAGATGGCATTTCAGTTTGGAGGCTTCTGAAAACTTGGCATCACATACCTCGCACGCAAACGGCTTTTCCCCAGTGTGAATTTTGGTATGCTCTTTTAAATGATGTAACCGACTAAAAGCTGACCCACACATGACACACGCAAATGGACGCTCACCGGTGTGCACCCGCAAATGAAGTCTCAACGCAGACTGATCTCCAAACTTTGCGTCACACGTCTGACAGGCGTACGGCTTCTCTTTCGTGTGAACCCTCTTGTGTCGCTGCAGTGAGGTGAAATCGGCAAAAGACCCGCCACAAAACTCACAAGTGTACGGCTTTTCCCCTGTGTGAGTTCTCATGTGTCTGGTGTAGGCTGCCGTCCAGCGGAAAGTCTTGGAGCACACCTGGCAGCTGTAGGGTTTTTCCCCCGTGTGCTTCCTCTGATGAGCCCTCAGTTTGGACTTCTCTGTGAAGCTGGCCCCGCATGTGTCGCAGGAGAACGGTTTCTCCCCCGTGTGAAGGCGGCTATGGTTCTTGAGGTGGTCCCCACTAGCAAAACCGGCCCCACAAGTCTGGCACACAAATCTCTTCTCCCCTTTATGCCCTTGTCTGTGCTTGGAAAAGCTACTCATCTCACTGAAAGTCAACTTGCAAATCCTGCAGAGGAAACATTTTAATCCATGAGATAGTTTACTGTGTGACTTCAGAGACTTCAACTCATCGAAAAACTCCTGACATGAGTGGCACGACAACTTGCTCTTTGTTTCTTTCTTCTCAATGCCATTGACCACAGCCTGTACATGAGGGTCGTCACAGGCAACACTAGAAGATTTGTTCCTTTTCTTCAAATTGTTCTTTTGTTGTGCATTGTTTTCATCATCACAATTGACAGAGACAGTGCCATTTTCTTTCTGAAATTCTTCCGTTTCTGCTGCTGCTTCTTTGTCAGCACAAACGACACTGGCAACCTTGTTTCTTTTACTTTTACTCAAATTTTGTTTTCCCTTCCGGCCGTAGGTGAGCCCAGCTTCTCTGTTCTTGTGCCTAGCTGACCTTCTGAGAGACACCGTTGGACTTTCCAGCTCAGACCTCTCACATGCAAGAAGAGCATTGCCTGCAGTCTGTTCAGTATTCTGGGTGGACTTTTCACTTTCTTCTGCACTATCAAATTGCTTCTTGACTTCTTTTTTCTTTTCTGAGGAGTCAGTGCTGGAGAGGTTTTCATTATCAATATCCACATTTTGTCTCTTAGTTCTTTTAAATCTCTTGGCATTCCCTTCTGATGACTCAACAAGGCTCAGTTTTATTTTCAAAGAGGGGATGGCGCTTTCATGTTCCATTGCACAACCATCGTTCCCGATGTGAGATTGGTCTTCTACGTCCGGCTCTAAGAGATCACAAGGAAAATCTTCCAAAGTGCTGGTACTTGCATCGGTAAAAACTTTGTCACGGCAAGTCCAAGATTTTTGTTCATGCTCCGCCAGGTCTGAAGTGTCTGTGCTTGCATCACAATACAAAGAACTAGCAGTACTGGTGGCCACAGAAACGCTCGTTTGCTTCTTCCGACCTTCAGCTGCTTTACATATTGACAACGTTTTGGCGTAATCAAGTTCCTCTGTCCTCAGCAGATTCTGCCGCAGTGAATCATCACAAATCCCACTGATAATGCAGTCTTTCAGCAAAATATCTTTGAGATCACCGAACTCACAGTTCTCCGACCACTGCAGCAGTTCACTGAGGAAGCCGTCAAACTTAGTCTGAGTGTCCTGCTTGCAGGTGAAGAACTTGTATCGGTTGTAAATAATGAGAAATCTGGGGAGACACAAGTCCTCGAGTCTCTGGAGCACCCCGCTAAACTTGACGGCTTCCTCGTAGGACAGGCCGAACGAGTTGAAGACGAGCTGAACCTGCTCGGCGGCGATGTTGATGAGGAAGGCCTCTACCAGCCCCTGGTTCTGGGCGTGGGGGTGGTGGTGGTGGTGGCTGCTGTGGTTCTGGTGGGAGGTAAGGCGCTGCTTCATGGAGAACCACTCCGAGCCCACGCTGGTGAAATCCGTGAAGCGCGGAAGGGCGATACTGAATTCCATCGGCTCCATTGTTCATCAAATAGCTAGTTTTCTTCCCAATCTGTTTCTGAAATAAATGATACTGCACTGAAGTTGAAAGATGAGTTGATGTCTTTTTCGTCCTCTGCATGCAGCTTTCCCCTAGTCAAGGTCAGGGCATTTCGACTGCATTTTCTTTGTCAGCCCAGAGTCATCTCCTCATTACTAAGCTGGCCTGCCTTTCTCTCCTACCTTGAACAATCTCCAACCTTGTACAATAAACCTCTGACTTTCCCTTCCTCCAGACAGACAGAGTGTTTCCATTTTGAAACTTCTTCTTTAACGTTAAAATCTCTGAGTTGGCTTTTTCCAGAAAAGAATTTTAACCACCTCTGTACCAAATGTTACCGGCAGTCGAGAACACCAATTTAAGAAGAGGAATCACTACTTCTAGTGCAAAGATACAGAAAAGGTTACATTTTATAACTCTGTTCCTTTCTTGAACAGTCCTGGAGACTACAGATTCAGGGTCACCAGCACAAGTAATGTCAGTTTCCAGTCTTTTATTCAGCCAATGTAGTCATTTTCACAAAATAATTACATTCTGCAATGTGAAATAGTACACTTCATTTTTTAAGTTTTTTGTAAAACCTCAGAGTCTGAAAAGCAAGCTGGTTTGACTAACTGCCGAAGGAGAAAGTGTCTGGCTGATCTTGCTAAGAAGAAGAATCCACCACCCACAGTCATATCATGTACCTGTAATGAAAGAGCATATACTTGCATGATGAATTTGTGGCTATCAAGTCATAAGTTTAACAACGCACTCAAAAAACTAATTATAAAAACAAATTTCTATTCAAGAATGAATATATATCTCAAACACATCGGGGGTTGACAAATCTAAGTGCTTGTTGACACATATATATATCCAAAATTCAAGTTAACCGTGACGTTGAAAATTAAGAGAGATATTGAAGACAATCAAAGGAAGTTATTGCGATGGTTTAATTGTCGAAAATGTGAAAAGTACACAGAAATAATAAGGTCAATAAGGATAGAAGGATGGATAGTGCTATACTGTACTAGCTGGGTACCCGTTCAATGAACGGACTCAAAAGAATCGATCGTCAAGTCATTGTGGAATCAGTGCTCACTGCTTGTGAACGGAAGCCTCACTTGTATACAATGATGTCTTAGAAGAGGGACTTTCCCAAGATTAGATCTAATGAAACTAATAGAACTGAAAAATAAACTTACAGTGACTTCAGGCTCCTTAATACTGTGCTCCCTTTAATTGTTTCTGAACCACCGTTAATTTTTTTCAAATTCGAAAGTTAAGTGGTTTGAAAGTTTTAGGAGACCAAAGTAACGAAGTTTCACAAACATAACCCTATAGGTAACACGGATAGGTGGAATTTGTCAGGACCGGTCTCGGTAGTTCGAGGGATCCGTAGTTCGAGGGATATCTTACAAAGACTATCTATAAAAACAAACAAAAAATCGGGACCCCAGGCACAGTTCGACGGAAGTTTGATTTCGAATCTTCTGTGTTCGACTCCCGTGTTATACTGTATGAGTGTCCTGTTCAGTGTTGATGACCATGTAACTAACACTACACTGATCAGGCCAGAGTACGCCACTCTTCCCCCCCCGTGCTGTGTAATGGCTTCCCAATTTATAACTTCATGATCAATCACATATATTATATATCATGCATACAAACACAATAACACAAGCCCACAAACACAATTCACATACCGCACCCTCACACAGCTAGAAGCTATAGTGCCTTAAATCCATAATTCCATCCCAAAAAAAGCTTACCATTATCACTAGAAATTTTGTAATTGCGGTCCAGTTTTACCCCAACGGCTGCAATCGCTACCCTGGCACACTTATATTACTATTAATAAAACCCTTCTGCCCCATGCCCTTATCTAGAGGTACCCATACCCATCTGTAACCTAACGTAATCATGATAACATTCTTATCCTAAACAATATAAGCGAGGCACCGTGGTGAAATCAGGCACTCATCACCATAATGAAATCGAAGAAATAGGCATTTTTTCACCAGTTTGTTAAATTTTTATAGATTTTTCTTCTTTTTTTTTAAGCACAATACCTTTTACGTCCCTGTAACAACACATAATTTTCATATTGTGAATTTTAATTTTTTTTAAACACATTGAAAATGTACACATATATTTTGTGCATTTTTAATCAAGGGCTTTCAAGCTAATACTAATAAAGTAACCAAACTTTGATGGCCATTTTCTCCGTATCTAAGTCTAATTTTACCTCTGAAATCAAGCGGCCAGGCCACCCCCACCTCTTTCAATTACAAAATTTCAACTTCTATTCCAGATAGATGGGCATTTTTTTCATCAGCCAAAAGCAAAGCAAATGAACAAGATTTCAGATGATATCAATAATTCCACATGCCCAAAATAAAAAAGAAAGAGCTCCTGATTTTTCAGCGTCAAGACACTTATAATTACAATAAAGTTGCTGACCAACATTCCAGCAATACAAAGGAACTTGGTTTCAAGGAAAACTCGGATTCAACGAAAGGAGTTGGATTCCCCATAATTTTTTCTATTCATAAAAATATTAAAAAATAACTAAGATTAAACGAGCACACAAATGAGTAAGCCTGGATTCATTGAAGTCGTTTGCAGAGCAGGATGAACAGCCCCTGCTCATTTTTCTCCGACAACAATCCTATCTTTTCCAGGAAACCATACAGGGCCTCTGCATCGTGAACCATTATTCGTTTAGTTAGCCTATTGTGAAATATATCTAAGGCAACTAATCAGCGGTATTCTTTCATTCAAACCACACAAACCAGGCTCGAACCTGGACTTTCTGCTTCGGAGACAAGCGCACTAACCACTTCGCCACCACGCCACTGTAAGCTACAGGCTTTAAAAATACTGCAATAGTGCTTAGCGGTCGTGTTGCTACCGTGAACAACAACAAAGTGGGAATCCCTCAATGACGTCAAACAAGATGGCTGTTACAATAAATATTGGCCAATGGCGTACATCTGTCATTATCAAGTTATTAGAATTGTTGATCCCTCTAGGGTCATTTCCGGTATAACGAGGGGGTGAGAATAGCGAGACATGGATTATTCTCACATACCACTTCCTTCTTCAAATTGGCAGTTTAATTCATCTAAAGAAGCCTAAGCTTTGTCGGCTCAGGCTGAGAGTAAATGAAGTGACTATTTCTCCGAACGCTCGGGATTTATAAACTTTGAACTCTATTTCTCCGAACGGTTTCCGTTACTCGAGTTTTGTCGGTTATTTGCGAGAGTTTGGCGTCATCTTTCATTCTGCCATTCTGTAAGGACAGGGAAGAAGCATTTTTTTTTTTTCATCGAATTCAATTTCTAGAGCTTGAAATTTTTAGCAGTCTGAGTCTGAATATATATTCACCCCTAAAGCAAAAAAAAATCCCTCCACGCTCCCCAACCCCGTTCACACACACACGCGCACAGCAACTTCACACGGGCGACTCCATTCGCAAATAACCAAAAAATCTCGAAAACGGTAACCGTTCGGAGAAATAGTTTCCCAGAGCGTTAGGAGAAAAAAAAAGAAGTAGATCTAGATATAGAATCTAGATACCTAAGCCTAGACATCACGATCTAGATTCTAGAGATAGAGCTAAATCTAGATTCTAGATCTAGTACAGTTGAATCCTGTTGAGGTCAGACACATAATATATATATACGACAGAGATGTCTTTTTAAAAATAATCTCTTATATTCTAGATACAGACTGTCTACATTACATTATACAGTAACCGGGTACCTAGCTTCAGTGTCTTATACACAGTAACTGGCAACCGGGTACGTAGTCTCAAGTGTCCTGTACACGGCAACCGGGAATGTAGCCTCAATATGTACACATACACTGACCGGCACCTGGGCACGTAGTCTCAGTGTCATGTACACGGTAATTGGGCAGTCCAGAACTCCAAGTTCAGTTTTTGTCATCCGGTATGGCCTTCATCCCCACCCCTCCCCCGATTGTACCTACCTTAAAAAAAAATTCAATAATTCCCCCATTCCGGAACCCTAGATCTATACTATACTTCGCAGCACACAGACTTTGAGTGAACTTTGGTGACCCCAGCCGGTACTCACAATGTGATGCGCACGCAAGGTTCACTGACCGGTCACGATGGCGAGCCCGACAAAACGCTTGTTGTTGTATGACTCTTTTTTTTTTTTCAGCAAGTGGCAGCACAGGACAAATATTGATTTATATTTTCATTCCGGTTACCGTGTACGTAGGCTGGATACAGAGACTAGATCTAGAAATCTAGGTTCCCGGTTACCGTGTACGTAGACACTTCGTTCTTGTCTAGTATAAGTAAGTATCTAGATTCTAGATCAAGAGATAGGTTGATATAGACTAGACTATATGGCCGTCGTTATTCGGACTCGAGTCCGAATAACATTTTTTCATATTCGGACTCGAGTCCGAATAAAAAAAAGGCCGGCACTATTTCTCCGAACGTTCGGGAAAATAAAGCTAGGCACTATTTCTCCGAACGTTCGGGAAAATAAAGCTGGGCACTATTTCTCCGAACACTCTGAAATCACATCCTTTCCCGCAAATTTCGGATATTATATAGATCTATAATTATAGTATAGGCCTACCAAAGATTGTTCGTATACAATATGGTTCAAGCGGTCCAAAAAATGTCCGCAGTAAATATTTATATAAAGAATGCTACAATTCCAAACAGTTTTTCGCTACAGATATGACGAGTTGCCTATGAAGGGTGCTGCTCTTAAACGTAATGTGTTGTGTTCACTCGTGTGCTGTCTAGATCTAGATCTAGATCTACGGAGGGTTATTGATAACGACACATAGAACTATTAGAACTGGCATCTGCGGTGGTCACTGCCACGACCAATAATGTACCGACACTGGCAGGCCCCTTAAGGTGTGTGATTCCATAAGGTGGGTGTTTACATGTAATATCCTCTCCTTTAAAAAAAAAAAAATTACTCACATTTAGGGTTAAAACAGCCAATCTTCTTCGGACAGGTGGACACACGCCCTTATTTGTTAATGTTTGTTGTTTATCATGGGCTGTTCTAATTTTGATTTCATTCTGTTGTGAAACATTTCTTTTTCACGTTTTTACACTCATCTAAAAATCTCTAGACTAGCTCTTGAAAATTGAAATAAATATAGACCCAGAAATTTGCTCCTGTGTGTGTGTGTGTGTGTGTGTGTGTGTGTGTGTATGTATGTGCGTGTGTGAGTGTGTCTGTGTGTGATAGTAAGTGTGTAAGTGGAGAGTGAGTGTGTGTGTGTTTGTTTTTCGGGCTTCATTTCAGCCTTCATTCAGTAACAGTTCAAAGTATACACAAATAGAAACACAGGATCCATTCACTCCAGGGCTCACGAGTCGTTCATCTTTTTCAGTTTCACTCATTCATTCAATTCCCGTGTTCTCTCCCGCGGCTCATCCCCGTCCGCATGGCTTTCACACCCCACCCCCTCCCTCCAGGCATACACAAAGAAAATCTCACTCATTCCCTTGCACCCTGCGAACCATGGACAATAATATAGGCAAAACACTGCCTAAGCTGCATTATTTTCGTTCGTGAGCTGTGGACCAGGCCAGGAGGGTCGGTGTCGTCGTCTTGTAGTTGCTGTCGGGTGTGGATACACTTGTACATTCTTCCTTTAACCCGCTCTTTCACTCACACTGTCTCTCCATCCACAGCTCAGCTCGTCATACGTTCAAAAGTTGTCCATTGGTCGTGTTTGTTTAGTTAGTGTGTGTATAAGTTTGTGTGTGTACATGTGCATGATGGTGGTGGGTGTGTGGTGGGTTTTACTGAAGGTTGTCTGTAGGCGGGCTTTCCATGCGGTGTTCCTTCCCCCAGACCAGAGGCAGAATGAAAGTTGGCGCCGAACTCTCGCAATAAATAGGCAAAACATCACGAGACCGGAAGCCGGAAACCGTTCGGAGAAATAAAGATGGGCACTATTTCTCCGAACGTTCGGAGAAATAGTCACTTCGTAAAAAAAATTCTTATTCGGACTCGAGTCCGAATATGAAAAAATGTTATTCGGACTCGGGTCCGGAAAAAAGGAAGTGTCTTCGTTCTATAGATCTTACGTTCAGTATTCAGTGCTTCCAATTTTCCGCCATTTTTTAGTTTTCCCCACACCTTATCTGCCGATCCAATGCCCGCTGCCTCATTGATACGCCTCCCCCCCCCCCCCCCCCCCACGTTTCCCACTTTCATTGTTGTAGAAAAAGGTAAAATTGAAGATTAGCAGACCACATGGCATATTATGAGCTGTGTAAAAAAAAAAAAAAGACCGATTCGTTCAAATACACAAGCCTGTGTCATATTGATTGTTTACCAAGAAAAAGTTGTGTTGCTGTGTAGAGCTGAGCATACGGCAACTTTTGATTCCATAGACCAGCGCACAATTCATTACGTATTCATTACGTAGATCTACGTCAAGACTAGCTTATTATTGTAAAAATGATAAGTTGCCAGGGGGAAAGAGACCGACGCTTATGCGACGTTCAAAGCCCGGACCGATAGTGCCCCCCACCACCCTCCCCGACACACACACAGCCACACGTGTGCAGGCCGCCCATCCGACCCCGACACATGCTAACGAGCCATCTTTAATTGCTTCTGATGACCTCTTGATCAATAAACATTTATTAGAAGCGCTATAACTTTTCAGGCCGGCCTCAAATTCATCATAAGATTAAAACTCGGCTCCTGCACAAAACGCCTTTTTGCCCGAAGTGATCCCGGTCTCTAACCAGCCTGAGGCGAGTCACGAGTGAGGCAGGACAGGAAGCCGGATTCACGAGTCACAGGAAGTCGGAAGTGATGTCATGCTGGACAAGAATCAGAGTCCGAATAACATTTTTTCATATTCGGACTCGAGTCCGAATAATCACTTCGAGACTAGGTCTAGATCTATATATAGCTAGACGTCTAGATTCTAGATCCAGATCTAGCCTATCTAGAAATCTAGATCTAGATCCATAATCTAGCTAGCTAAGACTAGATTATCTAGATCTAGATCTAGTTTAGATCTAGACTCTGGTCTAGTAACACACTTACACAGTACACAGTGTAACAGTGTAGGCTCGTAGTCGTAGGTCGTAGGCTACGCTGGGCAAAAGTAAGTAACAGGGAAAGAAAGTTACCCAAGTTCCCACGTTCGAGATATGACTTTGCATTCGTTTTTCCGCTTTTTCCCTTTGCAGAATTGTAGGACATAGATCTAGATCTAGATCTCTAGATCTAATAATCCTATTATATTAAAGACACTTCCTCGAATGCAAAGACATCCATTACAGCTGACTGAAAGAAAGCGTCGGCCTGCCGGAAGTGAAAGATGTGGAAGAAGAATAGCCTACTTTCGAAGTTTGATATTGTCTGAGGAAATACATTAACAGAGACACATATACTACAGCCTGCATGATATGAAACACTTAGATCAAAGAAGACCGTCTAATAATATGATAAGAGAATAGGCTACACTGCTCTTTTTAAACAATGAATTGCAAAATCCTTTGTGGAGCTTCAAAAACAATTAGATAATTACATTCTCATAAATACACTTTTATTCATTTATTCGATTTACAACAACAACGACGAAACCGAAACCAAAACATGAACTTCGACCTCGTTCCTAAGCAGGACTGCACGGATTGTGAAAACTTATCGCAAGCCTCTCATTTCATAGCCCAGTAGTTCCGACCGACCTCGGGCCTCAGTCAAGTAGTCAAGGGAAGACAACTTCTCGATCTTCATGGAAGGCAACGGTATTATGCTGTGGAGGGAGAGAGACTCCTAAATGTAGGCCAAATAATAATAATGTGATAGATCTCTAGTCTCTAGTTACGCCTTTTTTTTGCCCCCGGGCCAGCTTCCGCAACTACTTGAACAAGATACTCGGTCCCGACGCCTGTCAATGCCAGTATAGTACAGATCTAGAATCTAGATCTAGGAGATCTATATAACCGTAATGTCAAGATCTAGATCTAGTAGTGTTACAAAGTAGAATTTCGACTAAATTAATGCAATATCAAATGGCTTGCCCGATAAGAGAGAGATCTAGGCTTTGTATTAGGCACATAAGAGGATAGGATTCGCAGGGATGAGATCCAGATGAAGCATCATTGTCTACTCCTATAGTCCTGCAGGACTGAGCGGAAGTTTATATATTTATATTATAGCTATCGAAGTGGCTAGCCGTACTTAGATCTAGGTTTGGCCCTATCGACACAAGCCTGTTAAGTACACAGGTCTCATTAGATCTAGATCTTAGTAATTATTCAGGTTCAAATACATGCAAGTCAGTAAGGCACCTTTTGGTTTTGTCTGAAAATACTGAAATACAAATACTTTAGGCATTGCAAACTAAAAATTTCATTTACAATTCAGCCATCAATATTAAGTACGGCTGGCCTGACAGTCTAGCCGTCCTTAAGTACGGCTAGCCTGGCTGTCTACCCAGTACTTAAGTACGGCTAGACTGCCAGTCTAGCCGTACTTATCTTAGGCCCTATTAACATTAGAAAACAGGAGGTTTAAAATACATGCACTGTCATTAAGGCACCTGGTTTCGTCTCAAATACAAATACTTTAGGTACTGCACACTAAAAATGTTTATAATTCAGTAGGCCTATTTTTTTGTAAATGGTCAGTCTAGCCATCATCATATTAAGAATAAGTACGGCTAGACTGGCAGTCTAGCCGTCATTAAGTACGGCTAGCCTCTTCCTATAGTTATAGCTGGGCCTTACTATCTCATGTAGCCTATTATGAACAAGTTTACAAAGTTTATGAGAGTCTCCACAAATTCAGACTGCTTGGTAGACACAGTGATGAGGAAGGCTTAAAGTTTGAGCCTTTTGTTGAGCTGTTTCAATTTCCAAGAATTCTAGATCTTGTTTTGTTTGGTGGAGGCAGGTCTGGACATTTATTCCAAAACAACCAAGTCAAGAGATGATCTATATATGGTTGAGAATTTGTTTTCTGTGCTTGAAAGTATAAAAGTTATCATGGCTGTCGAGAATATATTAAAAAGAAGTAGCCTTTTTGTTTCTTTTAATATGTTTTTGAAAAATTTTATGTAATGTAACACTTTTACCAAAAAATAATGTGCATGTGTGTGTATACTATTGAGAATTGTTTTGCTCAAATGGATTGGAGAAGGAATCACTTAGACAAAGTGTCGTGCGTTCATACAAGCATTATATCTGTGTTTAGACATGATACTTCTACTTCTACTACTTTATCGTATATAGAATGTGATGTTATTGAACCACAAGTCAACTAATCTTACAGCGTTCCTCTTCGTGGCATAACCACCATGTGGCTGGAGACAGTTATCGCAGTCGTTGTGGGAGCCATTCTTTGGAGATACCTCCGGCAATATGCAGAGTACAGACGACAGTACTTCATCTTGCCAGGACATGACAGATACAGCTATCTATATGGATCGATTAAATTAGTAAGCTTTACAGTTCACTTTACATGTAAATGTTGTTTATTTCCGTTCCGGTTCCGGAAGGTTAACATTTTGTTTTGTTTTTGTACTTATTTTTTTCTTTTTCGTCTAAACTTGCTGATACAGTAATTTCTCCCGTTTAAACATAATGTGATTATGGGATGCAAATACAAGTAAATGATACTTTGTATGATAATTTGCATTTGTAAGTAGTGTCGAAAAATTAATTAATTCAGGATGTCGAAATATATGTCAGTGGGAGTGTTGTCAGTGACTACAATTCTGCCGTAAGCTGAAAAAAAAAGCCTTTTTATCATCTTGACGTCAACATTTTTTATTTGCTATTAATCAAAAGCATGCTCAGTAACCTTACTTGTTTGAAAAATATCAAAGTGAAACAGTGACTAGTTTTTGAATAAATTTGAATTCAAATTCAGAATCACTCTATTTTTAAATGGTTATTCTGGACAAAAAAAACTCTTTTTCTCGAAACTGTTGTGAAGAAAAAAAAGGCATTTTGTCAGCTTACGGCAGATCTGTTGTGCAAGTCCCAGCAGCACCAGTTTAAATCTGAGCCAGATGTGTTAACCTTATTTCAGAAGGACTCTCTGAGGTAATGACTTGCAACTCTGTGGTATGAAAATACCTCATGTACTGATATTATGGAAGTCTTCTTTTTTTTTTTTTTTTTCTGTGTCATGCATGACGTAATATTAATATAATGCTCCTCCTCCCAAAGTAAATCCAATCTGTCTTTTCTTTTTTCTTTCTTTGAATATGTGAAGAAATGTGCTATGCCTCTGTGGACCTTATCCGTTCGAAAGAGACAAAAACATAATAGATAATGTAACGTACAATGCTCAAACAGAGGTTCACAAGCTAAAGGATCCATCCCTTTTCACTGGACTTTGTATGCAAATGTGATTGTAAATTGTATCAAAGGGGTACAAGTTATAAATAGTTACCTCCTCTCTTTCACTTTATAAACTACAATATCAAAATTGTGAAAGCTGCAAAGAAGATCATTGCTGACGTCAAATACCCTTTACATTTAGAATATCAAGTATTTGATAAGTATTACACTCAGTGTCATCGATATAAAGCCCTCAAAGCTTGATATATAAATCTGGTATGGGAAAGAGTGCCTTGTAAATGCTATCTATTATTACTAGTAAGTATGGTGGGTGATAGGCAACAGAACATCTGTTATCATACTATCACCTTGTTTTGTACTTTTCAGCATTTATCTCTGCCCTGTGTGACCTTGGACTTGTACTGGATATGTTATCCTCTTAGCAGAAGTATCAGATTTAATTGAGAGAACGTGATGTTGTCCTTGGCTGCTTCAAAACAGTTTTTTGTGCTTGTTGGCACATCCTCAGCTGATTCATGAAATTGATTTTTATCTCTTTTAATGTTTTGATGTGCTGCAGAGGTGAACATACCCAAAATGTAATTTGGAAGACCCAAGTTTGAACCCTGCAAATCTTTCCAGATTATTTGCAAGGAGTTTTCATGGTCTTGGTGTTGTTATTGTTATTGTCATTGTTGTCATCATTGTCATCATCGTTGTCGTCCTCCCGTCCTCCTCCTCCTCCACCTCCTACTTTTCCCCACATTCTTTACTATCTCTCTTTTATTCCAGTCTGCCTTGTTTGTGTCGGTGTGCCATTCTTTACTTAAACCCTCCTCATTGTCCCCCTCCTCCTCTTCCTCATTCTCCTACTCTACTCCATACATTGTATGCATCCCTCCTCCTCCTCCCTCATAGGATCATCGTCTTACTCGCGTACTTATCGACTTGTCAACTAAGTATCCCCCACTATCAGTATCCAGGTTTTAACGAGGAAGGTCTAGCCTTTGACATGGACACACTGAAACGACACAAGTACCTGTGCCACTGGTGGGCGGGGCCTGTGACTCCTGTGGTGTCTGTGTACCATCCGGACAGCGTGCACCCTGTGCTCAAGTCCTCAGGTGAGACAGGAACTTTGGTACCTGTGGGTGATTGTCAGTTTGTTTACGGATTGTGTTTGCATGTGTGTGTGTGTGTCTGTGTTTGTCTGGTTGCGTGTGAGAGAGAGAGAGAGAGAGAGAGTGTGTGTGTGTGTGTGTGTGTGTGTGTGTGTGTGTGTGCCTTTAAAGTGTTGTGGTCATAACTTAATAAAGAATTTTTATATCAATCCAATGTCTAGATAAAAGCACAAAAACTATCACTGTTTCTTTTGTATGCAAAGGATAAAACTCCCTCAGAAAGACCCCTATTGCTTTATTAACTAGTACAATCGAACTCGGTCTTACAGTCACCTGTCCAAGACAATCACCTGTACAGACAACTTCTTCCCGCTTCACTTTTTGATTTATTTTTTGTGTACCGGGGGTATTATCATTACCCTGTCTAAGGTTTTTACATGTCTAACACAGTCACCTTTCTCTGTGACAATGGGTGGCCACCTTCAACAATTCGTGACTGTATGTCCTGCTTTGTTTCCTCTAGCCCCAAAACCAAGGTCATCGTTTCTGGTGTCTTTCTATGATATGGGTCTGCCTTGGCTCGGGGAAGGACTCATACTTTCAAACGGCAGCAAATGGGCGAAGAGCAGACGACTCCTCACTCCAGCTTTTCATTTCGACATTCTCAAACCATATATGGCTGTGTACAATTCATGTGCCAACACAATGCTTGTAAGTGCTAAAATCCCATGAACACACTTTTGAAAGATTATTGTGTTTTATGCAGTTTTAGCTTGTAGTATTTAAATTTAAATCTTTAATGCTGAAAGTATATTCTTGGTAAAGGTATGGTGTTAATGATCATGTCCATTGAAAAGGTTTTTACATTTGAAAAAATGTTCTTTTGTGATTTGGGTGTTGTATTCACTGTTGTAGCTGTATCCAACCCATCAACATAATTTAGATTATTCAGTTTGTGGGCTCTGGTGCTGCTTTTCAGGGCCAACCCAGGCTAAGAGGGATACAACACCCTGCCCAACGGAAAGATCAAAATACTCAATTCAATTGAAATTCTCTCCAAATGGAATTGAACTTAGGCCATCTTCGTGAGATGGTGAAGCGCGTAACCACTGCACTACTGTTTACAGTCTCAGGTTATGTGAGACGTGTGATAGTACATCATAGAACACGCCTAATAAAAGGTAGTGCGAAAGAACACCACTGGGCGTTCCTTGTGTCCCAACTATAGCATATAGTTTGCTATCATGTGTGAAAAGTATCGTAAACTTAAAGTGAGGTGCAAGGTGGGAGTAAATATGATCTCTGAAATTTTTGCTTAGTCTCCAGCACATTTGAATGAATCTTATGATTCATTAGAATACTGGTATGACAAGTTTGACCCCAATTTTTTTTTCTTTTGCATCTTCGGATTTAATTGCTAGACTTGAATGTGAAATACAATTTTATTTAACTTCTTTGTTTATTGCTGTAAGATAAATCAAGCTTACATACTAGAGTGTGAGTTTATTTGTTCTAAAGTTTTGAATAAGCAATTGGCTCCCAACTCCCTGGATTATCAGTGTGTCAGGCTGCATAATTTAAGTAGACTGTTGTCGTTGACATAAATTTTTAGTAATATTTAATTGTAACGAGTAAAAGAATCAATGACTTATCCATCAAGTCAGTTTTATTAGATTTAAACTGTGCTGTGACATCATGTGGGCTACAAGATGTACTTCAATTGGTAATAGAAACCTTTTTTTCTCCAGACGAAAATGGAAGCGTTTTCAGTCAAGGAAGAAGCTTTTGAACTGTTTGATCTGATTGACAAACTTGCGCTGGACGTGATTCTACAGTGTGCTTTCTCTTACCAGTCTGACTGCCAGACCAGCAGGTGTGTATGTTGACCGACTGTCAGACTAGTGGACTGTCAGACTGGCAGGTGTGTATGTTGACAGACTGAAAGACAAGTAGATGTGTATGTTGACAGACTGCCAGACTAGCAGTTGTGTATGTTGACAGACTGTCAGACTAGCAGGTGTGTATGTTGACAGACTGCCGGAGTAGCTGGTATGTATGTTAACAGACTGTCAGACTAGCTGATGTGTATGTTGACAGACTGCCTGACTGATAGGTGTGTATGTTGACAGACTGTCAGACTAGCAGATGTGTATGTTGACAGACTGTCAGACTAGCAGGTGTGTATGTTGACAGACTGCCGGAATAGCTGGTATGTATGTTGACAGACTGTCAGACTAGCTGATGTGTATGTTGACAGACTGCCTGACTGGTAGATGTGTATGTTGACAGACTGCCAGACTAGCAGTTGTGTATGTTGACAGACTGCCTGACTGGTAGGTGTGTATGTTGACAGACTGTCAGACTAGCAGGTGTGTATGTTGACAGACTGTCAGACTAGCAGTTGTGTATGTTGACAGACTGTCAGACTAGCAGGTGTGTATGTTGACAGACTGTCAGACTAGCAGGTGTGTATGTTGACAGACTGCCTGACTGGCAGGTGTGTATGTTGACAGACTGTCAGACTAGCAGTTGTGTATGTTGACAGACTGTCAGACTAGCAGGTGTGTATGTTGACAGACTGTCAGACTAGCAGGTGTGTATGTTGACAGACTGCCTGACTGGCAGGTGTGTATGTTGACAGACTGTCAGACTAGCAAGTGTGTATGTTGACAGACTGAAAGACAAATATGTGTGTGTGTTGACAGACTGTTATACTAGCAGGTGTGTATGTTGCCTGACTGGCAGGTGTGTATGTTGACAGACTGGCAGGTGTGTACGTTGACAGACTGAAAGACAAGTAGCTGTGTATGTTGACAGACAGCCAGACTGGTGTCTATAGTGTAGCGGTTAGGTGCCTCGCTGTTGTACACAGGAAACTTTAGCTTGATTCCCGAGGGAGAATAAATTTTTATCTAGATCTAATAGTATCTCTGTCTTTCTGCTGGATAGGTGGTTGGCGGGTGCTCTGGTGTGGTTTTCTTCTTCTTTCCTATCAAACATCTATCGTCTTTATCTCCCCTCCTTCTTTTTTGTGCTTGTTACTCTCTTGTAACACTTTTAATCTTCGGTACTTATATGAACTTATTGTGTTGCAAGTGCTGTAAAACTCCTACTAAAACTAAAGTTTTTGTTGGGATAATGTATCCCTCTCTACCCGCATTGGCTTTGACATGACAGGAAGGGTCAGAGGCTGGCCTCCCAAATGATCTTAATTGTATAGATGGGGACATAAAAACAACTAAGACTTTATCAGAGTACATAGAGTTATCGGACTAATCGAGTTATCAGAGTACAAAGAATATAAATCACAGTTGGTAGAGTTATCGGAGTATATAGAGATATCGGAAGAGGTAGAGTTATCGGAGTATATAGAGGTTTTGGAGGAGGTAGAGTTATCACAGTTGGTAGAGTTATCGGAGTATATAGAGATATCGGAGGAGGTAGAGTTATCGGAGTATATAGAGATATTGGAGGAGGTAGAGTCATCGGAGTATATTGAGTTATCGGAGTACATAGAGTTATTGGAAGAGTACATTATATAGAGTTATCGGAGTACATAGAGATATTGGAGGAGGTAGAGTTATCAGAAAAGGTAGAGTTATCACAGTTGGTAGAGTTATCAGAGATATTATAGGAGGTAGAGTAATCGGAGTATGTCGAGCTATCAGAGTACATAGAGTTATCGGAGGAGTACATAGCGTTATCAGAACACATAGAGTTATGGGAGTACCTAGAGTTATCAGAGTACATAGAGTTATCGGAGTTGTCAGAGAAGGTAAAGTTATCAGAGTCCATAGAGTTATAGGGGTGCATAGAGTTATCAGAGTACACCAAGTTATCAGAGAAGGTAAAGTTGTTGGAGTACATTGAGTTATCAGAGAAGTTAAAATTATTGGAGAAGGTAAAGTTGTTGGAGTACACAGAGTTATCAGAGAAGTTAAAGTTATCGGAGAAGGTAAAGTTGTTGGAGTACATAGAGTTATCAGAGAAGGTAAAGTTGTTGGAGTACGTAGAGTTATCAGAGAAGGTAAAGTTGTTGGAGTACATAGAGTTCTCAGAGAAGGTAAAGTTGTTGGAGTACATAGAGTTATCAGAGAAGGTAAATTTAAAGGAGATGGTAAAGTTATTAGAGTACATAGAGCTATCAGAGAAGATAAAGTTATCATAGCTGGTAGAGTTATTAGACTCATTCCTTCTCTCTCCAGCTTCAACTGATTTTAAAAAATTTAATGGTTATTAGAGGGTGCCACTAGTAGGTGCTATTTATTTATTTCTCCTCTGTTGTTTCTGTCTGTCTTTCTTACTTTTTTCCCAGCAGTAAATGAACGTTATTGTTTTGATGTGCATCTCTTTACTCACACAAACTAACGACTCATTTTTGCTATGGCTCGTTCATTACATCGTTAACACTTGTTCTCTCTGTCTCCAGCGACAGCTCATATACTGCAGCTATTGTTGAACTTGTCACTCTGTGGGGAGAAAGGACTCTGTAAGTCCTCCTTGATCTTTGTGTGTGTGTGTGTGTGTGTGTGTGTGTGTGTGTGTGTGTGTGTGTGTGTGTGTGTGTGTGTGTGTGTGTGTGTGTGTACTTGAGGAATACCTGTATGTGTGAATGTGTGTGCTAATGTGAGTTTGTGAATGTTTATGGGTACCTGTATGTGTGCATTTGTGTGTGTATGTGTGTCTGAGTGTATGATTATGAATGTGTGTTTGTTTTTGTAAGTGTGTGTGTGTGTGTGTGTGTGTGTGTGTGTGTGTGAAAGAATGAGTGTGCTAATATGTATATTATGTGTGAGTGAGAACTTATAGATTGTATTAAAGCTTTTAACGCTGTTCCAAGCTTTTTAAACATGCTGATGTAGCCATGTTGAAACTGAGTCAGGGCAAATAATAATATGTCACATAGACATGCTTTGTTGAGCTTACTTTTCCATGATTATTGTGCTACAACAATATCGTTTGTTATAGATTTTACTGTTGTTGCTGCTGTCGTTTTTGTTTCTCTAGTTGTAGTTAATATTGTGTTATTGCTATATCAGATAAGAAAAAGAAAAGAAAAGATAAGTACCACTCTTCTTGCATCTCCAAACAGGAATTGGGATTATTACAACGATTATGTTACAAAAATGATTGAGTTGTTGGAAGTTGTTTTGCACCCTACAAACAGAAAATAATTCAAAAGTTACATCTACACCACATAATAGACAATAAAGTACCAGCACATATTGTTTTACAAATACACTGGTGCTTGCAACCACTTTTTTCTATCAAGGAATGTCATGCATGTCACCTCCATGTGAAGACCCTTCAAAAACTACGCCTGAAAGATGCATACAAAACAACAAACAAACAAACAGAAACAGAAAGAGTAATGTACAGGAAAGTACTTGTATGTTTTAGAAACTCTTTATCTCTCCTTATTTTATTTCTTTAAAAATAAATTATTTTTTAAATATATAATTTTTGCGAAGCCGGGACTTTGAACATCAATAATTTTTTTGTTTCGTTTTTCTTTTCGGGGTTTGATTCTCTTGCAGGAGTCCTCTTCATTTCAATGACACTTTGTATAAGTGGAGTGCTAAAGGCAAACGGTTTTATGAGCTGTGCAAGCTCACTCATCAGATGTCTGAACAGATTATAGCCAAAAGAATAGAGACATTGGTAAGTGTATTATTTTCTTGGGAACGAAAAGAAAATGCCTCCCAATTTAATTTTCTCTTGTAAGTGAAATTGTTTTTCTTTCATTATTGTACCATCCTTTTGTAAGTAAAGTGCTCTCCACACCCCCTGGGGCGGTGCTACTGACTGAAGTTTCTTTAGGACATTCCCAAAGGGGGGGACATTAACCATGTTCTTATGCACAGTAGAATTGTAATTGTAAATGGGCTGATTCATCAATGTCATACTCATAACTTTTCCTGAACTGCAACAGGGAACTTCTGCCTTTTCTTTCCTAATCCTTACTATCGTTGTTTTTCCTCTACTTCTTTTGTATGTTTGTCACACTCTTGTGACCCGCTATTTTCAGGGTGCCTTGACAGTCGAAGCAGACTTTGTGCTGTTGAAGCTAGAGAGGTGAGCAGAGTAAGCCTGATTCCCTGTAAGGACTTCTCTGTTGACATCCACCCCTTAGCGCTCTTATGACCTTATGCATTTGTGAGTGCTGTAGAACCTCTACTAAAACACACAAAAGTGCTCTCCTCTTGTAATGTGTAATGCTTTTCTCTACAAGTATAATTCCTTCCTTTTGTAAGTATATTTCTCATCTCTGGTCTGTAAAATTTTTACCTTAATAAGTGTATGCATTACTTACCTTTTGTAAGTGTAATATTTTTATTCTGTATGTAAATGCTTTCCTCTTTTATGTGTAATAATTCCAGTGCTTTCTTGGTTAGTGTAATGCTTTTCTATTCTATATGTAATACCTTCCTTTCCTGTGTAAAATATGTTAGATCCATATGGTGTTGTGTCCTTTGTATTATTGTAAAGCACGTTGAGCGCTTCCGTACTGAAAATGAGCTTTACAAGTGAAATTTAGTAGTGGTGGTGGTGGTATTATAATCATGATTGTTAATTATCACAAGAACACGGTATGGCTATCTTTTGTTTTCAAGATTTTTCACTATAGGAAAATGCTGATGAGACTGAGCTGCAGAAGATAGTGTCCAAGAAGACAAAAGATTTCCTCGACATCTTGCTGTTAACCAGAACTGATGACAAAGATGCGCTGTCGCCGGTAGAAATTCGAAATGAGGTTGATACATTCCTCTTTGCAGGTAGTAATTCAAAGTAATGGGTTTTTTTACAGTCTCTGGCTATCTGCCTTTAGAAAACTCCAATGGAAAAAAGTTTATACAGTGGAACTCGGATTCAATGAGGTCGCCGGGCCGGGCCTGACCTAAAATGTTGTTGAATCCGAGTGTTCGTTATAGCAAACACAAGTTTTTTGTAGATAATTACTAGCACTGAGCGAGTAATGTATAAAGAGAAGTCACAAGTATTGCCTGAAATGCCTGCATATTATGAGTTGTGTAAAAAAAACAAAGACAGGTTCGTTCAAATGCATGCGCCTGAGTCTCCTCGATCATTCACCAAAAGGTTGTGTTGCTGTGTAGAGCCTAGCCTAGCATACGGAATCTTTTGATTCCACAGACAAGTGCACAATTCATTATGAAGATTTACGTGAAGACTATCTTATCATCGTAATAATGATCAGTTGCCGGGGGGGGGGGGGGGGGAAAGACCGTGACGCGTTTGTAACTTCGAGGTTCAACGCCCGGACTGCTAGTGTCACCCCCCCCCCCTTCCCCGACACGCACACACATCCACACGTGTACAGGCCGCCCTTCCGATCCCGACACACGTCAGAGTAGACATGTGTACGGGCCAACGATACATGTGTTGGTACGAAAAAAGGCCGCTGATTGGTTGCATCAATCGTTTAAGTGAATAATGGTTCACGATGCAGGTGCAATGTATGGTTTCCAGGAATAGATAAAGTTGGTTGTGGGAGAAAAATGAGCGAAGCCACGTCTGCGGGGACTGTACACCCTGGAAGCGACCTCGTTGAATCCGAGCTTGCTGATTTAAGTGCTCGTTGAATCCGGGTTATTTTTATTGATTTTAAAGAAGACAAAAAACGGGGACTCTATCTCATCTCGTTGAATGCGAGCTCGATGAATCAGAGTTCCACTGTAGAATAAACAGTGAGTGAAAATGTTGATTTTTTTGTTTATGTCAACTTTACTTTGTCACTAAGAGAATTCCTACCTGTCATTATTCTCAGAAACTTTGATTAGCGAGGGTTTTGTGAGAGTTTTTTTTTCATGGTTTGATTTTACGACCCCCTAGAGTCAGTGAGTGGTTTACGGATACTCTGATATGGTCGTTTGCTCCTTTTTTCTATCACATATCTATCATCCTTTTCTGTCCTCCGTCTTTTCTGTGTATGTTAGTGTCTAGTAACCCCTATAATCTCCAGCATTTATATACGATTTGTGTTGCAAGTTCAATAAAACACTTACTTATACTAAAACCCTCAGAAGCAAAGTCAGAATGCAATGTACTGTGTATATTCTACTGTTTTTTATTAAGTGCCAGAGCTTGTGTTCTTTAACACCGTGGGTATCAGTTATGCCCTCCTTAAGTCCCTTACTCTTTATCTCCGAAGCAGGTAAACCCACTATGCCAAGGCCTTCTTTTAGTATGAAATTTAAAAGTGACTTATTATATATGTCACTAAATTGGTTATTTAATCAAAACAAGTGAACTTATTTTGACAGATCGTCATCTAATGAATGAACTCCCATAAAAGAGACCTGTTTTAGGTATTTGCTGAAAAGCAATTTGACGTGGAAGTCATTGTAAAGGAATGTGCCCAAGCCTCTGTCAGTGGCTCACCAGCACAGCGGTTCCGACCGCGAGCCGCTGAGAATGGCTTGTCATTTTTATTTTTTTTGGTTAGTGTTTTACGGCGCTCGCAACTGCATAAGGTCATATGAGGGCGCGGACACACCAAACATTTTTCAATTGGTAGGAAATTTTGAATTTTTCCCAGGTGGCGGCCAAAGCCTACTCTTATCAATTTTATACCCCCAAGGGATCTTTAACGTGCGCAATTTGCACAAGGGACCTCTGAGATTTGTCGCCCTTGTCTGAGAAGGCTAGGTGTTGATCTTTCCTACCTACCAGAAGATCAGCAGTAAGTAGGAGCCAAGGAGTAACAGTAGAAAGGCTTGAGAAAGAGTCAGGAGCCCATTGGAGGGGGCAAAGAGGGTGGGGGGGGGGGGGGAGAAAGTGGAGACGAAAGCAGACGACATAACATTGCAAGAGAGAGGGAAAGAAGGTGAAAGGAGACAATTTTTAGAGGAGAAAATTTTTTGGTTGCTACCCAGATTCGAACCCAGAATCTTTGAATGAGAGGCGAACACCTTAACCTCTAGGCCACGAGAGCCCCCAGAGATTGACTTTACCTTCTGATGTTTTCCAGGTCATGACACAACGGCCAGTGGCATCTCCTGGACACTCTACAGCCTCACTGGACACCCCGAGTACCAGGAAAAAGTCTACCAGGAGGTCAAGGACGTCATGGGTGACCGGGACACTGTCCAGTGGTTGGTTACATTGATGTGTTGTACAATCTAGCACACACACTTAGCGAACATGCACATGAAGTGGCAAAACACATGTGTCACGACGCAGTGGAATCAGGCGCTCGTCAATTTTTGTGCATTTGAAGTGATTGGTATTATCTGAAAACTGATTTATTTGCTTTGCTTTCAGTGAAATATATATTATATTCGTTGCATAAAAGCACATATTTTAACAAAATTTGAACATAATGAAAAGATTTTCACATCTTGACAATTTTGTTAATGTTATGTGTGTGCTAGTGTGTACTTAGTTTTTGTCAGTTGTGGAAGTTGTAGTGTGGGGAGCTTTCATAGAGGAGTGGATGGGTGGTTTGCAGGTGCACTGGTGTGGTTTGTTCCTTTTTTTCTTTCAAACTCTAACATCTTACATTCTTATCTGATCTTTCCTCCTTTTTTTTCTTTATGTGTAACTCTTTAGTTAAAATTGTAATCTTAAACACTTGTATAACCCGTTGGTGTCACAAAAAACGTAAAATTCTTTCTAGAAAATTTGTGGTCAGTTTTTATAATCCACAAGTAAACTCATTTATTGACCAGACTGTGACACAGTGTGCTTAATAGTTTTATGTCAGTTTACTGGACAAAATAATGTGGGAACTTTTCACTATGTGTAATATTTTGAATTTAAACTGTGAAGGAAAATTCTATTAGATCTTTGAGCATGTGCACTTAGACAATAAAAGGAATACAAAAACTGTGAGAAAATATCAGACAAGACATGAAGTGTGGCCAACTCCACAAACACTACAAAAGAAGCTGTGCAGATCAGCAGAGGAGCTCAGCAGGATGACCCAATGTATGAAAATGATAGGCCTATATATTGGTCTTCAAGAGGTTTGCAATTGAGATTAAAAACAAAAGAAGAAAGAACATGTGAAAGCATTTGGTCGCTTTTATGGACATGCGGGCTAACTCCAGATTTCAGAGGTTTTCAGAAATCTTGACCTACCCCTAAAGTGGGCATTGCCCTACCTATAGAAGAAATTTGGTTTCATTGGTGTCTATCTTTGTTGGGTTATAGAGAAAACTCTCCCAGTCTTTTAAAGAAACTGAACAAAGGGCAGAAATTTACCTTCGATTTTCTGAAAACAGTATATTTCTTGATAACCCCTAGTGCTTAAAAGCGACCATTTAATCCTTCCACAGGACAGACTTGGCTAGTCTGGAGTTTACCACCATGTGTATCAAAGAAGCGATGAGGATGTACTCCACCGTGCCTAGCATAATACGTACACTGGAGGAGCAGCTCGTCATTCACGGTCATCGAATCCCAAAGGGTAAGGATATCACTTATCTTATCTCTGTACTATTTTTTTAAAAGATGAAGGCAAAATAAAAACATCATTATTTTCCCAGATGGTAGAGACATTACTTTTCTTATCTCTGCGGGAATGCCTCGCAACTTTTAGGCAGTGAAATATAGATTCTGTGAGAAACAGAAAATGTTTCTAGCCATAGCCGAAAAACAACTTAAGGTACAACTCTTACTAGACCTATACTTATAACTGCAAATACATATGCAATGTAGTTTGAAATTCATGTTTACATTAAGTCTCTTTATTTTTCCCTCCCTCTTTTTTTGATAGTTTTTCTCTTTCCTTTTTCCTCCTTCTCCCACTCTCTTACTTTCTATATATCTGCCTTTTTCTCTCCCCTTTTCTCCGTCCCTCCTCACCACATGTCTTTCCCTCTCCCTTGTTGTGTCAATGTGCTTCTCATGAATATTACTGAGACCCAAACATAAGTTGTATTGAGATAAGTAGGGTAATTCTTTTCTTCCCTCAGGGTCAATGGTTGCCATCCAGCTGTGGATGTTGCACCACAACCCTCATGTCTGGGAGGAGCCTCTGACCTTTGACCCCAACAGATTTCACCCCGACAAGCAGTGCCTAATGGATCCCTTCCAGTTCCTTCCGTTCTCCGCAGGCGCCAGGTACATCTAACAACTGTTGTCGGCAGATTTTAGGTAGACCGTATTTGATGCCCACAGTGTTTTCGTCACACTTTTTGCTGTTGCACCCATAAGATATAACTTCAATTCCAAAATGGGGAAGTTATTCTTAAAAGTTACTCCTTCTGAGTCTGTTCCATAGGACTAGCCCTTTCTTTTTTGTGAAGTATAGCCCATTCTGTCCCGGTAGACTCTATCAGAAAAGGTCAGTGAATCCTGTCTTCTAAATGATCTTAATTGTATTGATGGGAGTGTAAAATAGTTACAAGCCTTATAAAATAAGGGCTGCCGTTTTAACGAAAAACCACAGATGATTTTTAAAAATTTTGGAAACTGAACATTTTTTCCCTTTGATATGTCCTCTCTCTTTTGTAAATTACTTATGGTATTTTTTGCTTAAATCTGTCAGGTGACATCCCAATGTTTGTAAAATGGTCCTTGATACCGTATCTTCAAATGTTTTCAGCTTCGATTTTTTTTTCTCCTGTTCATGTTCATGTCTTTCAGTGTCTTATTTTTGTTCATCTTAAGTCTGAAGGTGCATACACATTTTCAGGCATTCCCTAAACAGATTTGGTTTATAATTTATTGTGGGAATTACAGTGCAGACATTTTAGCTTTTACATCGTCAGCTTTTTTGTTATCGTGCTGGATGTATTAAAATACACCAGAGTCCGCTAAAACCAAACATGGTTGATCCAATAACAGAGGTATATCAAAAGAAAATGACTTCTGCAGTCCAGTCCATTTATAACAGCCTCTGTTATTACAAGAACTTGGATAACAGTGATAAATCAAATTTCCATTTTTTTTTCTCTATATAGGTGTAAGTAATATGAACCTGGCTATAAAAGGCTTCAATTTGCGCAGACTCTGATATATATAACAGTGGTCTTGCAGCGCATGAACTTGCTTTCGATCCGTCAAATTATTAAAATTTGTCTCAACCAAGACATTTCACCTGTTTGTATGATCGCTTTCTTAAACACAAACTTTCAAACGCATACCCCAGTAGTGTTGGGATCACTGATCGATTCTGTCTCAGTATCAGCAAAACAGCCCACTGGAAAAGGATCTGTGGTAATCGAATATAGTAAGCTGAAGGTGCAATGATACTGGTAGTTTCCCTTGATTACGGTTATAACAGGACTCGCTTATAACAGGGAAAATCTGCCGGTCCCTTCTGTCCTGTTATACCTGAGTTTGACAGCATTTTAGCAACTTCTCTGACTCTGAACCCAAAACTTGGCTAAACCTGTCCCCGTGGTTTTATGCAGCCCGCCTAATTTAGCAAAATTTGATCATTTTTTGCTTAATTTCTGATTATTTTCCTTTATCTTTCTCTGTTAAAATTAACAGAATAGCATAATTTCATATTTTTGGGCTCACTTTGCATAATTTCAGAATTTTTCTTGCATAAAACGACGGGGACAGCTAAACTGAAGAAAATCCAGCAATTCCACAGACTTTGATTTATGCTGACTCCACTGTACTCTTCTCGAACTCAAGCTTACTCATTTTTATATTAATCTTTCGTCTATCCTAGAAACTGCATTGGCCAAAACTTTGCCTTGAATGAGATGAAAGTGACTGTGGCAAAAACAATCAAACGGTAAGTTCTGTGACCTTGTATTTCAAATGTCACTAGATACTTGATGAAGCTGAATGACTTGCTGGGGATATTTCTTTGTAGCCAAAAATGATTGTTATAGGTCATGCCGTCTGCACTTTTAAACAACTGAGCTGGTATCTTTTTTCACTTTGTTGACAGAGATGACAAAAACAGGTAATTGAAATTATTGAAAGATTAACCTTATGAAAAGTGTGAAGGCCCATTCTATTACCTTTGGAATTAATTGATAGTCAAAGTTTTGCTTGATTACACATGTCTCGTTTGCTTCTCTTTTAATGTTTTTCTCCTGACCTACTACTAATATTTGCCCCCAAATTTTCCTTAGATTCAGACTGAGTTTGGATCCGTCTCATGAGGTGCGCCAGGTTCCTCTTATCACAATGAAGCCTGAGAACGGCTTAATGATTCAAGCATCACCTCGCTGACATGGATTTTTCTTCACTGAGACATAAAAAAAAGCCCATACAGTTGACACTTTCGCATACATCATGGCCGTCATACTTTGGCGCAGGGGGTGTTAAAAATTATAGTTTCCTGACTATCGTTACCTATTTGTCTATGAATTTTTGTGATAGTTCTACTGCAGCTATTTTTTTGTTTTATTATTTCTAAAATGTTACTGGATAACAAAAAATTAAAGTATGTCTTTAGTGCCTTTTTTGCAGTTTTCTAAAATAATTTTCATTTTTTCGTCCTATACTTGTAATTAATGATGATGTTGAAAAGAATTGTATCTCTCCTCCGTCATTCATAATCAACACAAAAGTACAGTTTATGAACTTTGTTGCTTTGACTAGCTGTACTTGGAAACATTGTTCTTCTTGTGCCATTTCTTGCCTTGCAAGACTGACTTACACTGTCTGATGTGGTTAGGTCTGTGAGTAGGAGTGTGAGTACCCAAAACTGAATGAAATGTTGTAACTTTGTACAATAGTTACATGATCACCTGATAATTTTAATTGTTCCCATTTATTCTCCTTCAGCTTAGATATTATGAATCGTGTCTCTCTTTTTTTTTTTTTTAATTGTTTCATGCTGAAGTTGTACTTTGCACATGATTATCAGGCTACCTTAAATCAGTATTACTGATGCAGTCATTGTTTCTTTCAGAAAGTCATGGAATTTTTTCACGCTGTAAATCTTTGCATGTATGTTTCATGTAGTGCTTTTTTATGTTCTTTCTTCCTCAATTCACTTATAACCATATTTTATGATGTAGTCTTGATTTATTTCAGAAATTTATAGAACTTTTGTGGCTGTTTATTCCTTATTAAATAGAAGAAAAAGAAGAAGAGCAAAGTGTATTCTGTGTTCTGCAGCATGCTCTATGCAATTCACAACTATTATTACATCTCTCTGCAGACTTATTTTTACACTCACACCTTGTTGTTTTATCTTTGACTGTAACAGCATCAACAACACATGTTACTTTAGGAGTTTCTCTGTTAGTTTTGCTGATATTAGAATGGAGGCTGCCTCACAGACTTATTGTCTTGTTTACAACATTCCTCATCGTGTTATTTATATTAGTCTATGTGTTGAAAATGTACAGTTTACGTCTTAGTGTTAAGTGTGTACCTTTGATGTGCCATAGCTCATACAGAAAACGGTTTGTGCCTTCAAATCAAATTATGTCTTTGTCCATGTGGTGTGCTATTAAAAGATACAATTTTTTACTATGCTTATTTTGGCAATGGGTCTTTCTGTTCAACTTACCTACTTAATTGTGGCTTAGGCCACTTCTGGAGTTTGAGCCATCAGCGAGCTCTTGCTCTCTGCCTTTATTTAAGTCCATACATGGAATATTGTTCCAAATTTAGCTTTCTGTTAGTGGGCGTGTATTTCAGAGCTAAAGAGAGTACATGATTATTGTATCCTTCATGTGAGGTATTATATGAGCTTTTTATACTTAATTTAAGCTAAATCGATAGTGTCCAAAATAAAATACGATTCTTTTTGTTGGCTTTGCATTGCACAGTCATCCTGGTTACATTAAAAGCTTCAGTTTTGTCTTTAAAAGCAGGTGGTGGGAAATTATTTTTTATTCTTTGCATGTGTACAAGAATTCTGTCTTTTACATTGTCAAAAATGTTGGCATACAGGATTAGAAGATTTTCTTGTTGGCTTTTCAGTGTTGCTGTTGATTGCCTATATCTATACTGATGATTCATGATGTTTCATGAACTTGGTAACATAATTGTTGCATTTTCTGCTGTGATCAACCTATTATTATGTTGGGTTTTTTTCAGACTCAAGTTTATTCTACTTCATCTGTACATTTGAAATTTTATTACGGTACTTTTTACATTTGTATATACTGCTTTTTGTAAATGTTTTGAATCACAATGAAAGGTGCAACTATTATGGGCGGAATGCTTAACCTTGCCTCTTGTTTGGTTATTTCTTTTTGGCAGTTTGGGTGAGTTGAGAAGACTGGTAATGACAACTGCTCATAGCTTCACGGTTTGAAGTTTTCTTCTTTTGGCTGTATTTATAAGTGAAAATTTCAAATCCTTAAACTTAACAAACTCATTTTTTAAAGATTTTAAGAACATTTTTGCAAACTCTTTCATTTATGTAATTTTGATAGGTATGTTACCTTGGCCCTCAGTCTCTGGTGGCTGTGAAAAAAGTGTACTTTTCACCAAACCTTTTTTTCAATAAACAACATTGTACCCGTTCCACTGTAATGTCGTTTTGGTGTTTTTCTGTGGCTCTGAATGCATTTCGTAATACACTGTTGCGGAGACTTCTGAATTTTGTCATCCTTCTCATCCAACCAGTCTTAGTTAAAATGAGTCTGTGGTCAGTCCAGCAGTCAACACCGTATGTTATGTCCTTCTCTCTAACACTAACAAATGTAATTTCATGTCAATGCTTACTGTGAGGGTGTATGCATTGATGACATCTTGGTTATTCATGCTGGGCTTGTGGAAAATTGTGTCGGTAATCAGAAGGTTCTGGATCGCACAAGTTTTCAGAACAAGATGAGTGTTGCTGTTGCTCTTACCAACTGAGTTTCTTTCCAATTACTCCCTTATCGATGATCATACAGTGTCAACTCTGGCCTTGAAGTCGCAGAGAATGATGAGCTTGTCTGTCTCTTCTTAGTCACTGCACTGTAGATTTGTGGGCCTCACCATCCTCATAGAATTCGCTTATGACTTACTGGCATCTTGTTGGAGCAGTTGTACGCTTTGCTCTCGCACACAGGAGACTTGAGTTAGAATAGATTCCCGATTGAGGAAAATCTTTATTATCTTGGTCTTTCTGCTGGGATATACAGTCGAACCTGCCCTGACGGCCACCTCTTTAGGACGGCCACCTGTACAAATGGCCACTTTCCATTTCCCCCTTTGTGTTTTTTCTATGTAATTTAACTGTGTTATACAGGCACCTGTCCAGCCACGGCCACCATATTTTAACACACAACCCCTATCACACTAAACAATAACACCTGTCTTAGACGGCCTCCTTTGTGACTCTATTACGTTTTGTCATAAATCATGCAATGGCCCCTGGCATTGTGGGTGAGCCGTCATAATCCAATCACTTGTTGTTGTTAGGTAGTATCCATCCAACCGATCATGTTGCGTAGGTCCCTCCCACTGTTGACCAATAGGTAACAAATTTTCAGCTGCTGGTGAGGTAAGCCGCTGTGATCCCTTCTAACCGTAAGCCCTGCCCAGAACTCATACTCAAATCATATTTGAGATGAGTGGTCACAGTTTACCCAATCTGTAACAAAGTAACAATGGACGTCAACATGAACTTGTGACAGAAGCGTCACTCGTTCTCCGAGTGGTGGTGACCCATGTGTTTGTTTTACCATAGCACTCGGCCCTTCTTGTCCGACACATTTTGTTTTATTGTCACCCTTGCACAAAAGCAGCAACAAAAGAAAAAAAAAAGAAAACGTAAACCCAGTGAAAACAACAACAATAACAACTACAATAACAACAACTACAATAACAACAACTACAACAACAATGTGGCTACTTTCAGTTGGGACCTCTGAAAGGAATGGTTTTTTTCTTCATCTTGATCAGTCCTGCCTAAGACGGCCACCTGTCTTATACGGCCACTTTTCTCCTTGACAATGGGTGGCCGTCTTGATCTTACACAGGCTCGACTGTAAGTATAAATATCTTCTATCCATCTCAGCCAGAGTTGAATGTGACACAAGGTTTTAACGTCGAAGCTTGCCTTCTGAGCGATCTAAATTATAGTGTCAATGGGGGCGGGAAACACTTACATTCAAATCTTTTTAGAGATCCCTTAATTAAGACCACGACTACTCTACGATGAGAAGACAAGAAGCCTTGCTTTGCCAGACGTACATGAGTAGCCACACAGCTATCTCTAAACCGTAAAAGGATTTTTGTCGTTTCCATGGGTTGACACAATAACTAACTCATGTCGTCAGGAAGTAGTCTATAGATGATAAAAATTCTAATAAAACAGTTTGGTCTGCAAGTGAAGTAATCAGACAATGGCATAAAAAAAAGAAACAGAACAGACCCTACCAGAGCGGAGTGCCTAATGTATTAGGCTGCCAATAATTAAAGCACTATGACGCCTTGAACTGGAAGTAAGCACAACAAAGTCTGCTCGATTTTCTGAAAATGTAAGAGTTTATAAAGTGATTGCACACTGGCTGTACTATCTGTTTAAGACTTGTTGTAGGCATGAGAATTTTCAGACATATTCAAAAGCTATAATATTGGCTTACCATAATTATTATTTTATTATTATTATTATGTTCGTATCAAGGATTGAGAATGACAGTTCTTTAAAGCAATATTACGCTTTTTAAAAATATTAGATACGAGCAAGAAAAAACTGGCTGCTTGAAAATTAGACACACTTTGTTTTGCGAAATCTACTACCCGTACTTGCTTATTTGCTAATGTTATTATACGACATGTACTTTTATTATAATTTCGGACAGTTTAAACAAAACATACCTGGCGAACATTTTCATTAAGTTGCCACTTTGAGCAGTGAACCTGCACTTCCGGTTCACAGTTCATTCAGCCATTCACAACAATAACTAACACTCAGTTAACAAACAAGGCTAGTGTTTCTCTCTAGCACCAAACCAAAGGCAACTTAGACTTAGAGAAACCGACTGGCAACTTCTTATAAATCAGATTCAAAGAAGGTATTGCCTTTGTTCTTTTCGTACACCCAATATTTTAAAATATGTAATCTATATCTAGATCTAGATTCTAGAGTAAAGACTTTTACTAGATCTAGATTCTAGATCTAGATTTAGATCTAGAATCTAGATTCTAGATCTACTAAATTTTAGGGCAGTCGGCATCTTTGACTGAACTGAAAAATTCTATTTTTTCTCGTTTTTCTAGCACTGAACCGCCGATACTGGCGATACCGGTGGTAGTGGTAGATCTGTCTAGATTCTAGATAGATCTAGATCTAGATCTACTCTGATACTGATACAGTACAGTTACATCTAGAATCTAGATCTAGATCTAGATCTACAATGAATGGCGAGCCCAGTTTTGGCTATACTCACCCGGTGTGCGTTCACCGCTAGCTAGAATCTATAGCCTGGGTCAACCAAGTCCAAAGTGTAGCGTTCACCCTGAACCACGGAATTCTACTCTGTGATAACAGAAATGTAGAATTCTGCGCCGTGAACAAACCTTCCAGCGCTCTTGTGTTACTACTGTTAGCCTAAAAGCCTGCAATTTTGTCTGTGGGCAGTGGAGAGAGAACAAGAGAGAGAGGAGTCGCGCTAGAACTTCCGGGCAAAACAAAATAGCGACCCACGTAGTTCGGCTCGATTCGAAAAGTTAAATAGCAGTAGCATCTTTGTCTGTTGTAGACGACCAAATTAATTTACTTTTGTGTTTGAACATCATTTTTAAACTTTGTTTTGGTCAATTTGATTGTCCACACCGATAAACAGTATTCAGAAAGAGACAGAGAGAGGGGAGGAGAGTAGATCTTGTGAGAACTTGCGGGCAAAACAAAATGGCGACACCCGTAGCTTGGCTCGATTCGAAAAGTGAAATAGCCATTGCATCTTTATTGGCGATCAAATTCAAATTAGCTTACTTAAATTGTGCTATAACGTCATTTTTTCTTTGCTTATGTCAATTTGATCATCCACACCGATAGACAGTATTCCGAAAGTAGGAAAAACAGGTCTTGTTTCACACCGGGTGAGAATAGCCAACGCTGACATATCTCACCCGGGGTGAGAGGTAGATCGTATTTTTATTCTCACCCCGGGTGAGGATAGCCACTTCCATCTACAATCTAGTCACTGTCGTTTTTTGGGGAGAAAAACGATCCACCTGTCGACGCGCTATCACTGAGATTAATAGAATCTAGATCTAGAGATGTAGATTGTAGTCATAGAAAGTACCTTTCTGTTGAGTTTGACCCAGACTAAATACTTGTTTCAAGGTCTTTACTTGCAATGTGCTGTCACTTACTACTAGATCTAGATCTATACTATCGTTTTTTTTTAAAAGTTGACAGTAATGTTGTTAGTCAAAGCTTGCAGGCTACGTTCACAGCGCCCTGAATGGCCTGAATGTTGTTTGCAATTTAAGAGTGACCGGTTATCATATAGTCCATGATCCATCATTTGTTTAATCCAGAGAAGAAATCGAGAAGTCTTGATGACCGAATAGGCAACACAAAGAACGGGGATGCAACCTAACTGCAAAACATCAAATTATGATCAAATTCAGGGAGGCATGACACCCCCCCCCCCCCCTCCATAATTTTTATTAGGTCAGGGGGGCAAGCCCCCCTAAAATAAACCCCCCCCCCCCTACTCTTGACTTTAATGAACGTAACTGCAAATCAAAACACCGAATGATCTTGCTCACTTCACCTCCTACCCTTTTCCCTTTTGCTTCTTTTCTTTTCTTCACCCCCTCCCACCCCTCTTCTTGCCTTGGCCTTCTTTCATTCTCCCTTGTTTCTTCGAACGCCTTAAATTTTTAAATTTATTGTCGAGCGTTGCCGGGTTCGCACACGGGAAGAGGATCGAATTCGTGTTCCGCGCGTCCAGCGAGCGAGGCCTTGTCGACCGAGGCTGTTTTGCTGTGCCCGCCTTCGCCATCCGTAAACCCTGTTGCATTCAGACCACTGCTGCATTATTTTTCTGACTAGATCAAGTATCCCTGTGCTGTTTCCTCATTCACTTTGAGTTTGAGTGACCGTAGCGCTTCAGTCGTGCCTCTGTGCCAATGGTGGATGATTCAGGGTGCCGTGAACATAGCCTGCAAACTACATTCACTGCGCCGTGAACGTAGCCACTGCGTAAATTATAAGCATTACAATTTACATTGTTTGAATCATGTCCTTTCCTCATGCTAAATTAACTTTGGAAAAAGGGTTTGTAAACTACAGTCAAAATTGCCCTAGACAGACATCCATTTTTGAGGAGAAAAGTGATTGTACAATATTAGACAGGTGGATGTCTTGGAAAGTCTCATTATAATAGACAACAATATACTTGTATGTTTTGAACTAGCTCAATCACCAACATGCTAGTATTGAGATTGGAAACTGGGCTAACCCCATTGACAGTAGCTGTAGGGGCCAGCAGAAGAACTGAGCAGGATGGCCCAGATTTTGATCAATACCAGACTTCAAGAGTGATGCATTATTAAGGAGACAAAGAAATTGAAGGCAAAGTTAAAAGCTCATCTAGAAAAGATAAAAAAACACAAGGTGCGAAGTGACTGATTGTACCTCTATCAGTTTCCATTCTGTCTTGGTGTACTTGTGAGTTATGCAAGACAGCTATAATTTTGTATTAAAATCAAGTTGCCACCGGCGACAACACTGTTAAAAGTGTTAGCTGTGGTAATTTGTCATCCTGTTTAACAAATATTTTGACATTATACCATACTAAGATTTTTTTTTTTCCTTTTCAGATGGTGACCAGCTGAACTGAAGGAAGAACCACAACTTTCTTACCATTAACAAGCCATGGAGTTTGCTATTCAGCGGCCCGAGAAGAGCTCCCAGGATTTGCCAGATTCCAGCAGATGGACCATCCTCAAGGCCAGGTTTCAACTCTTCTGTCAAAATGTGCCAGCAATTGACAGATCTCATTTCACTCCTCATGCCACTACAGCTTCCATCTTTAGATACTTACTCAGAGGGAGTGAACTGCTTTTGGAAAGAATCAACAGCCATTTGTCAAGTTCTAAGATTAGAATTGAACCACAAGAGCTTGAAAATATTTTGACAGAGATTGAACATTTTTGTGTTCCTGGCTTCTTGTTGCTGTATGAAAGACATAAGTTTTTTACCCGATGTCAAGGCAATGATGAAAGTGTTCACTCATTTATCGTAGATCTCTTGTCTCTGGCAGACAATTGTTGTTTTGAGGAGCATAAAAAGAGGTATCTGTCTTCCAGAATTGTGAAGGGAGTGAGAGATGAAAAACTGAGACAAAAGTTGCAAAGTGTGGATAAAGTTAATCTTCAACAAATCATAGCTACCTGTTTGAATTTTGCCTCTGAAGATTTTGGAAGGTGTCAAGGTGCTAAGTTTGGTCTGCAAGTGAAGTTATCATTTAATGAAAATTGTGACAGTGATAGTGAAAATGTTGACACTTCATCTTGTAATCCATTGGTGAACAATAATGCTGCAGTGAGGGGTAATGGTGATAATCTGACACATGTCCATGCTGAGAGCTGTGACCGGAATGAAAGAAGTGAGAGGAAAGCTGTTACATCTGGTTCTGGCCTTGTCACTCAGCCTGGACGACCCAAACGTAACGTGAAGAAAGTGGTCAGGTACGGCGTCTCTGATGTGGATGTAGCTGAACAGAAAGTCTCAAAGGACGAGTCATCCTCAGAAACTGTCATCTGTCGTGTGTTTAAAAAAGATGCAGTTCAGGGTCAGAGTGAAACTGGGCCCAAACTTAATGATGTATCGAGCACATTTGATGGCATAGACAGTCCCAAGCAAGAGAGTGTTGAAATGAAACGTCAAGAAGAGTATCAGGAAAGCCTCTTGGGTACCATGTATCTCTCTGAAGATGATGTGGATCTCTCTTCTGGAGTACCTGAAAACAACGTGAGCTCTCACTCAGTGGGAGTAAATGAAAGACAGGCCTGCCTAGAGGTCAATAAACTTGAGTCGTGTATTTCTTCAGCAAGCCACCCAGAAGATGGTGGAGACAGTATTACATGTGGACCAAATTTGCCCCTTAGGCGAGACTTACAGAAAAATGCCAAGCACAAGTGCTCAGAGTGTAGTTCCTCCTATGCCACGAGGAACCTGTTAAAGCGTCATGTACAACGGACTCATTCCAGGAAGAAAGTCAACAAATGTGACATTTGTGGTGTGAATTTTCTCAGCTCGTCTCACCGCACCAAACACATGCGCCAGGAACATCCAGAGTCTCTCACGTTCAAATGTGCCAACTGCCCAATGACTTTTGACAGTCAGAGAGCTTTAGATCAGCATAAAGTATCCCATTCAAAAGAGGAAAAAGTGAAATGTGAAGACTGTGATCTGACTTTTCGCAGCATGCAGGAATACAATCAGCACCGGCGGAAAGAACATCGCACTAGTAGATACCCATGCAATATCTGTGGGGTGCAGTTCCAGTACCCTTCAAAGTTGAAGTTGCACGCAATGAGCAAGCACAACGCCACCAAGCCCTTCATGTGTGAAATCTGTGGAGCTTCATTTGCAGAGAAGAGCATCTTGATCAATCACAAAAACATTCACACCGGGGAGAAACGACACGAGTGTGCCACTTGTGGGAGAAGATTTTTGCTGAAGACGACCTTGAACAACCATGTACAGACCCACCTCGATCATAAGCCGCATACCTGCAACGTATGTGGAGTCAGCTTCAAGCTATCCTACTACCTCCGCAATCACATGAAGATCCACTCTCAGAACAGAGAGCGACCCCACGTCTGTGCCACGTGTGGTGCAGCGTTCCTCAAGTCGTACCAGCTTCGCAACCACGAGAGAAAGCATACGGGAGAGAAGCCGTACAAGTGCACCATTTGTGACATGGCTTTCTCGCAGATGTCCAGCATGAAAAAACACGTGAAAAGAATCCATGAAGGTGTGAAGCCTGCAGATAGATTCTCGTGTGAGTTCTGTGGCCTGTCATTCACTCACTCCTGCAAGCTCAAACTCCACCTCATGAAACATACGGGCGAGCGTCCGTTTGTGTGCTCGCTCTGTGGGGCGTCATACCGCGAGAACCACCAGCTGAGTAAACACATGAAGATTCACAGTGGCCAGGAGCCGTTCAAGTGCCCGATCTGTGGCCAGAAGTTTTTGCAGAGGTCGCACATGGAAGGACATGTGAGGAAGCACACAGGAGAACGACCTTTCTCATGTCCCATCTGTAGTGCGAGATTCTCCCTGAAAGGTTATCTCCGTGATCACATGAAGACTCACGACTCCAACCGGGAGAGACGCTACAAGTGCGGTGTCTGCGGCAAGGCTTTCACCTGCTCTTCACACATGAGAAGCCACGAACGTCTGCACTCGGGGGAAAAGCCTCATAGATGCCACATCTGCAACACAAGGTTCACGAAGCGCTCCTCGGTGCTCAAGCACTTAAAACGAACGCATGGCATTCACAACCCGCCCGCACTGACCACAGATCATAATCAGCAGCTGCAAATTCTACAGCCACATCAGCAGCAACAACAGCAACATCATCAGACTCTGCAGCCGCTACAGCAGACACCAGTCTTGAACCATTCTGCTCCAGAAAATCTCCTCGATGTAATTGGCAACAGCAGCAACAGCAGCTTCTCCATCACCTGTGGTAACACCAGGGTCCCCCTCAGCTCTGCCTCTGTCCTACAAGCCCCTCCTTTGCTCTTCCAGCTCTCAGGAAAACCAACAGCTGGGAGCACGGGTACCCTCGGCCTAGATACTGGCGCCAACTTCCACCATCATGCTGAGCTGCAACCTTTAACTCCCTTGACCTCTGACCCCCATAGAATACAGCTGCAGCCGACCCTGAGTCAGCCGCTGGAGCAGCTGCAACAGCACCTGCAGCAAGTGCCCACCGCCGGTTCTGACCTGCTTCACCTTCAGCAGCTGGGCCAGTCGGCTGACCTCCACAGACAAGTCGTACACTCGGAGATGAACTCCCCCAACCTCCATCCCCAGACCCACGCCACCTACACCTTGGCCACTTGATGGCTCTTCTTGGTGATTCTCTGTCTCAATGTACCACCATCGGTAGTGCAGCACAGGAATTTCTCTCTCTCTCTCTCTCTCTCTCTCTCTCTCTCTCTCTCTCTCTCTCTCTCTCTCTCTCGAATTTGGTAAAGACTGTCAAGAAGGGCTCCCACTTCTATTCTATTCTGGGCAATCTTTTAGAACTACCTCCAGTCAGCTGTTCCCTCTATCTGTCTTAGTCTGAGATCCTCCTTGAAAATCGGAGCTTGTTTTCAGTTGGATCTCGACCTTCCTCTCTTCTTCCTCCCTTGGGGATTCTGCCTTCAGCTTTGCCTTGTTACATTGTGGGCTGGCTTCCAAAATTGTAAAAGAATGTGCCTTATCCACTGTCACCTTCTTTTCCTGATAGGCTACATCATGGTCAATTGATTTGGGGGTTTTTTAAAGCACAAAAAACAAATTTCTTTTTGAAGAATTGTGACACTCAGGTTTCTCAGTTCTAGTGGATCTAGCCTTAGTTTAGAATATGACATACAAGAGAATCGGATCAAGCACTAGATTCTTTGGATCAAAACAGTCCCCCATTCACATTTTTTGGCTCATACATTCTTGGTTGGAGGGTGCTACTGAAAGATCCTACTTCCTCCATTCTCTCTCACTCTCTGTTGTACGCGCATCTGTGTCTATCAATCTGACTTTTCATTTCTGTCTATCGGATTGGGCCTATTGTTTTTCCAATATTATATACAGTACGCTTGTCTTTACTCAAGCAAATAATTATGTGCCGGAATTATCCTTTGTCTCTTTCAACTCTCACTGCACAGGATTTTTTCAGTAGGCCATCACCTCCTCTTTATTTGTGTCACTTTCCATGGAATGTTCTGAACTTGTGCAGCCGATAGTACAGACTGCAATGAAATCCTACTATTGGAAAGCAGTTTATTGGTTAACATGTTGATCTATTATAGAGGTATATTATACAGACTGTGTGTGCAGACTACTGTGAAATTCTACAGAAAATGGCATCATTATTGTGCCGACTAGAGAACAATTAACTCTTCTCAAGATAAAGCATTCATTGTAAACATTATATTATAGGCAGCGTGCAGTGAAAACTCGTTGTTGTAATTGGTAACATGTGCAGGTTACACAGTAAATTTTTTTACAACGTGGAAGTGGAAGCATTGCATATTTATTGTATACATACTGCAGCCTACAGACTTCAATATTATTTATTTGTATTAGATCAGCATTATATAGTCAAATAAAGACTACAGTGGAACACCATTGTTTGAAAACAACATTATTTTAAACATCTGCAGCTTACAATGAAGTTCCATTTCAACTTGAAATGGATTACTGTTTGGCTTGGTGGATCTTTGAACATGATGTTTTCTATTTAATTTCTGTCACAAAACGGTGGAATCGGGCACTCGTCAAATTTTGGGCATATTATGGAGTTATTGGTGGTATCATAGAGCCTGCTGTTGAGCGGGGATATGCGCTATACAAATGCCATCTATTATTATTGTTATTATTATCATCTTAGAGTTTGTTCATTTGCCTTGCTTTCAATGAAAAAAATATCCATTTATCTTGAATAGAAGCTGAGATATATTTGGGATTGAAAGAGGTGGGGTTGCATTGTTTCAGAAATAAAATATAAGCAAGAAAATGGCTGCCAAAGTTTGGTGATTTCCGTAGCTCAAGAGTCCTTGTAAACAGCTAATTTACATTTTTTCGTGCCTTTAATCAACATTGTTCCATACAATCCACTCATAAAAGTGTATCTGAATGGACGTACAAAATACAAGGTGTTGAGCCCCCCCCCCCCAAATTTTTAAAATAAAAATTTCCAAACTCCGAAAAATGTCGATTTCTTTGATTTCATTATTTTGACGGGCCCCTGATTTCACCATGATGCCTCACATTTATTTCTTCATGCCCTTCAACTTCAAGTTCAAGTGTTTGATTACTTCTTTTTCTTATGTTGTTATCGACTGTCTCCCATGTTAATGAACCATTTAATCTTTAATGAACAAAAAAGTTTTGAAAATAAATTGTTAATTGTCATTAAAGGTGAAAGGAAAGCAAGAGCTAACATGTGGTTTACAGTACACTTCTTTTTTTTTTTTACTTGTTCTAGAATCTTCTTTAGCTTGGCTTCTAATATTATTGATATTTTTGCATAAAAACTTTGTAGCTTCTGCAAAAGAAAAGTTATGAGGAGCTCAGAGGCAGGCCATGGAACAGCTAGTAGACAGTGTTGTCTGCTAAGAGTTCGTCCCAGATTCATAATTCATGAAAAATGCATGTATATATATAATAAATATAATATAAGAAGATTTTTCACTCCTCGTGTCACTTCTCACCTTCCTAGTCTAGTAAAGTGCTAGTACCAGTACATGAGTTATTGGCAAGTGTAGACAAGCTATTGCGTGTGGTTGGTGGGTGCTCTTGTGTGGTTTACTCCTGCTTTCCTATCCATTCAGTTTACCATCCTGATCTCTCCTCCTTTTTTAAGGTTTGTTATTCTCTTGGAACACCTCTAGCACCTCTAATACTCTTTTTTTTTCTTTTTTTTTTTTTATAGTAGAGGGTTTTACAGCGCTCGCAACTGCATGGTCATATGAGCTCCAAGGGGTGGATGTCAACAGAGAAGTCTTTTTACAGGGAATCAGACTTATTCTGCTCACCTCTCTAGCTTCAACAGCACAAGGTCTGCTTCGACTATCAAGGCACCCAGGAAATAACAGGTCTCAAGAGAGTGACAAACATAAAAAAGAAGTAGAGGAAAAATGACAATAGTAAGGATTAGGAAAGAAAAAGCAGCAGTTCCCTGTTGTAGATCAGGCACAGTTATGAGCGTGACATGATGAATCAGCCCATTTACAATTAATTCTACTGTGCTTGAACGAGAAATTTCCCCCCTTTGGGAATGGCCTAAAGACACTACAATCAGTGGTACTACCCTGTGGGGTTCTAATACTCTAATCTTCGGCACTTATATGTCCTTGTGTTGCAAGTGTTGAAAAACTCTTACTCAAAAAAACAACAACTGAAGACAAACTATTGTCGCAGATGTTTTCACTCATCCATGGACAAGTTTTGGTTAGACTTAGACCTCTCAGAAAACTACCTTGTATATTTATGCAGTAGCCTTCGGAAGTACTTATACCTTGGGGGGTGAGTCATATGTGAGGCGTGCTGACAAAATGAGTTACTTCTTGCAATCCATAAATGGTGGTATTTGCCAAAAATTGACACTAGGGCCAAATTTGTAAAATTTCTATTGATGCCATTATATTCTTTAACTATAACTCATGCCTTTTATTTTGATACTTATGAATTGTTAAAACTTCACCTGTAAGCGTGATGGTTTGATTTCCATTTACTAAAATCTGAAAAGTAACTAATTTTATCAGCACATGTCACACATATATATTATATATATATAATATATTATTATTATTATTACATGTCCAGACCTCAAGATAGCCCAGACGACCGCCGTGGCACACAGGTAAGTGTCAGGGAATAACTTTGCTTTCAAATTCTCTGATCTCTTCCCACCCCGGGGGCTCTCGTGGCCAAGAGGTTAAGGTGTTCACCTCTTATTCAAAGGTCCCGGGTTGGAATCCGGGTAGCGACGGAAATGTTTTCTTTTCTAAAATTGTCTCCTTTCACCTCCATTCCTGCTCTCTAGCTTGTTCTGTCATCTGCTTTCGGCTTTCGACACCTCTTTCAGCCCCCACCTTCTCACCTCCTTTCCCTCCTCCTCTGGGCGCCTGACTCTTTCTGCAGCCTTTCCTGCTGCTGCTCCTCGGTTTGTTCTTACTACTAATCTTACTGCTGTCTTTCAGTAGTTTCAGCCATATCCCTGATCTTCTGGTAGGAAAGATGTACACGTAACCTTCTCAGGCAAAGGCGAAACATTTTGGAGGTGCTGTGTGGAAGTTGCGCACGTTAAAGATCTCTTGGTGGTCTACTAAATCGTTAAGTGTAGGCTTCGGCCGCCACACGGGCAAAATTCAAAATTTTCTACAAATGTTTTATGTGTCCCGCGTGCTCATATGACCGTATGAAGTTGCGAGCGTCGTAAAACGCTTTAAAAGAAAAAAAAACCCAACCTTCCCACCACCTTAAAAGGGGTAATGCTGTCGTCACCACAGTAGCAGCCCCTAGCCCAAGAGCAAAGAGCAAAACGAAACGAATGTACACACACACACACACACACTCTCTCTCTCTCTCTCTCCCTCCCTCTCTCTCTCTCTCTCTCTCTCTCTCTCTCTCTCTCTCTCTCTCTCTCTCTCTCCCTCTCTCTCTCTCTATTTGATGAGATGGTTAATTAATTATAGGCAATTTTGATCGCTGTCGCACGCAGGAGATCGGAGCGCGATACGACATGTACCAGAGTGGGAAGACCGAGAACATCTTTTAATTATACAGTGGAAACCTGATATAACAGATATGGTGGAAGTAGAGAAAATGTCCTGTTATAATATATCGATCCCTGTTAAATCAGAAGTGCAAGGAAAGTAAGCATTTGTGGACTAATCCAGCTGTACTTATTCATGGGTAGTTTCCCTTGCCACAAGTACCCACGAATAGAGGTTTTGGCACCAACTTTCTCCTTGCCTCCTTAAACCACATCAGAAGAGCCTGGTCCACAGTATCTGCGTCGGGTAGTCTCATCTTCTTTCGATCCAGAGCTAACTTTCCATTAGAGTATGCTGCCTCTTTTTTCTTTCTATCCTTGATAATGGTGTGAATCGACCCTTGTGGAAAGTCGAACTGACGGCAAATCTCTGCCAGTGAAGCTTGCTTTTTGTCAACAGCCTGGGTTATTTAGTATATTTTGTCAATTGAAAGGCATTTTATCTTGCGCTTGACATCGTTGGAGACACATTACGCGTGCGTGTTGCTAGGTTTCTAGCTAGATCGAGGTCTGCAGCACACCACAGCCCTCTCTCGCTTCACACGCTGCGCGTGCTTGCAGTGGCATGGCTTGCGTGGGCTTGCTCCATCACAGCGTTACTCTCTCTCTCTCTCTCCCTCTCTCTCCCCCCCTCTCTCTCTCTCTCTCTCTCTCTCTCTCTCTCTCTCTCTCTCTCTCTCTCTCTCTCTCTCTCTTCACGTTGTTAACGAGCCTTTGTCCCTGCTGCTATAACTATAACATGTTGGGCTCCGATGAGGCCCTGTTATTGCTGATGACTTTTAATAGAGACAAAGAGTAGGAAAAAACGGGGATTTAAAAAAATCCCTGTTATTACCGGATCCCTGTTATTACCGGGCCTGTTATATATGGTTTCAACTGTATCGACTCGGGGTTGTCTCCTGGGATACTATGCTCTCTCAGCCTGTGCTGGTCCTGACAGGCAGAATCGCGAAGCCGGCCTTCTGAATTGTGTCGATTGGAGCGCAAAACACCCAAATTAATTAAAAATCTCTCTCTCTCTCTCTCTCTCTCTCTCTCTCTCTCTCTCTCTCTCTCTCTCTCTCTCTCTCTCTCACACACACACACACACACACACACACACACACACACAAACACACACAAACGCATGAATAAACATGATTCACACGCCAACAAAAACAAACCCACGCACGGGCATGTTTACTTTACACCCGCAGGAGCACAACTCGGGTTCCTTAAGTAACTATTTACGTTTAAAGCCAACACGACGATGTTTATCACCTATTGTTACTGAAATGATGTAACATCTATTAAGAGCAGAGCCGGCGGTGGCTGACCATCAACACTATTGTGAGGACATTGAATAAGGAGACCGACAGCTACTGCTTTATAATGTGTGTGTATATTATTATGATAAACAACCAATTTATAATATAATATGGTCGAGTGAAGAGAGTGTTCGAAGTTTCGGCTGATCTCAGTAAGTTAAATTAACGCTACGACGTCATATCGTGGCTTTTGGTTTAGAAATGGTCATTCATTTTTTTTGCGCCTGCTAAATTTACACATATTAAATGCTAGTGTCTGTAGAATCTGCTTTATCATACTGGTGATAGTTATAATAATAGCAGACCAAATTGTTTCAGTCAGTAATTAATATATAAGCCTATTGGAGTGAGTGTGGTGATTCTGTAAGAGTGATCATAGGTAGCTAATATGTACGGTACGTGTAAAAAATGCCTAGCGTAGACAGTAATTAGTTGTTGTAATTGTTTTTCTTGGGGGGGGGGGGGGGGGGGGGGGCCCAAAAAAATTCCCCCCCCTTTTTTTTTTTTTAAGGCTTTGACTCCGATCATCTATCTGAACATTTCGAAAGTAAAAAAAAAAGATATATCATTGATATACATACATACATATATATATATATATATATATATATATATATATATATATATATATATATATATATATATATATATATATATATATATATATATATATATGATCCCCCCATTTTTTTTACATGCCGTAATTGGCACTGGAAATAACTTTTTTTTCGGATTGGAGTTGGGGGTGGGGGGTCTTCCTGAGAGTCTTATTATAGAAGTTTCTGCTCCAAAAGAAATTAATTAATTTACAAGTTAAACCGAGAATTAGGTATAATATAGATTTTAAAACCCCTACAAATATTATATTAGATGAGTATTGGATTTCCGCATTTCCCCCTTACTTTACAACCAGTAAGTTTTCATGTGTTTTCATTCCGCCGCTCCCACATGAACCCAAGAAAATTATGTAAGAATGAGTAAGAGATCGTGATCGATCAGCTGAATTCACAGAATTTTGTGGCTGAATTTAATTGTCACGTGATCTCGATCGGTATTCTCTCTCTATATTTTTCCTGCATTTTCTTCATTTTTGGATTAAGCTACTATTACAAAAAGAACTTTTTTGTTTACTTTGGTAAAACTGAATGATTATCAATTTTCACACTAAAATAAAATAAAAAATAATAGATCTATATATTTTTTAAATTTAACTCTACAACTGCAGAAATACTTAATTCAATCTCAAAAAACAGATTCATTGTAAGATTTTTTTACCGCTAAATTAAGCTATAAACTACCTTACTTGGCAAGTGTGTAGCTTTACATAACATTTGTTTTCATAACAAGCACGGGAAACAACTCTAACGTCATGGGATCAGAGCTACAAGAGTGGCTGACGATAGCTGTGTGGTTGTTGTGTAAAGTTGTCTTTTGGCCGTTCCTTGCACTCGTGAACTACTTGGAGCCGTTGGAAGCCCCTACAACCACAATGGAGCCTTCAAAAATAGCAAAAAATCAAGTGAAGAATGTGTCCACTGGAGAGGTAATGCTGAAATTTTTGCAACTTTTTTTTACCCCGTTATTAAACATGGTCAATGGACGGAACCGGGAATGCTAGAGATATCATCCGTCATGGGCTTTCGGAGGCTTTCCAATTCCGTCACCCGTGACGACGTGGATTTTATTATAAATTAACCTTCCATTTTATTAGATATGGTGGGTTATGGCTAATTCAACTGACATAGAGTCTACCTGTTGTACATGTATTTCTGCTGCAATTTAGTTTCTCAAGAAATTGCATTTCGGCACTTGTTTATTTTAGTTTCACAATGGCCACCTGAGAATAGCGCAGGCGAGTCTTTTGGCTATTCTCACCCGGTGGGCGTTCACCGCTATAGCCTAGATCTAGGCCAACCAATTTTGCGTTCACCCTAAACCACAGAATTCTACACTGTGATATAACAGAAAAATTGTAGAATTCTGTGCCGTGAACAAACGTTCCATTACTACTGTTAGCCTACTAAAAGCGAACAATTTTGTCTGTGGGCAGTGGAGAGAGAGAGAGAGAGGAGTAGCGCGAGAACTTCCGGGCAAAAATGGCGACCCGCGTAGTTCGGCTCGATTCGAAAAGTTAAATAGCCGTAGCGTCTTTGTAGACGACCAAATTAATTTACTTTTGTGTTTTAACATCATTTTTTAACTTTGATTTGGTCAATTTGATCGTCCACACTGATAGACAGTATTCAGAAAGAAACAGAGAGAGAGAAGAGGGGAGGAGTAGATCTTGCGAGAACTTCCGGGCAAAACAAAATAGCGACCCCCGTAGTTCGGCTCGATTCGAAAAGTGAAATAGCCATAGCATCTTTGTAGTAGATACAATTAGCTTACTTTTGTGCTATAACATATTCGTTTCTTTGCCTTTATCCGTTTGATCATCCACATTGATAGAAAATATTCCGAAATTAGGAAAATTAAGCAGGTCTTGTTTTACACCGGGTGAGAATAGCCTATGGTGGCAAGTCTCACCCGGGGTGAGAGGTCGATCGTATTTCTATTCCCACCCGGGTGAGAATAGCCACTTTCTTTCAGAATCATATCCCCATGCCATATATATATGTAGCCTATAAGATGCCGGAGCTCTTGTGGCCTAGAGGTTAAGGTGTTGGCCTCTCATTCAAAAGGTCACGGGTTTGAATCCGGGTAGCGATCGAAAAATTTTCTTCTCTAAAATTGTCTCCTTTCACCTTCTTTCCTGCTCTCTAGCAATGTTCTGTTGTCTGCTTTCATTTCCACTTTCTGCCCCCACCCCCTCACCTCCTTTGCTCCCTCCTTTAGGCTCCTGACTCTTTCTGCATCCTTTCTACTGCTACTCCTTGGCTCCTCCTTACTGCTGTCTTTCTGCCACACCCTTGATCTCCTGGTAGGAAAGATCTACACCTAGCCTTCTCAGACAAGGGCGAAAAATCTCAGAGGGCCCGTGTGCAAGTTGCGCACATTAAAGATCCATTGGTGGTATAAAATCGATAAGAGTAGGCTTTGGCTGCCACCCGGGCAAAATTCAAAATTTCCTACCAACTGAAAATATTAGGTGTGTCCTGCGCGCTCATATGACCTTATGCAGTTGCGAGCGCCGTAAAACACTTTACAAAAACAAACAAGCCTATAGATCTAGACTCTAGATCTAGAGAAGATAATCTAGGTGTGAAGATTTCATGTGTATTGTTTCAGATGGTGCCCATTGAGTCATTCTGGAAGGATTCTCGAGTGGTCCTCATTTTTCTGCGTCGCTTCGGATGACAGTTGTGTCGGGTTGGAGCCCAGCAGATAAGCCAGTTGAAACCTCGGTTTGATGCTAACAATGTTAAATTTGTGGGTATCGGCCTTGAGGAACTTGGCGTAGAGGACTTTGTGAAAGGAGAATTTTTCAAAGGAGGTAAGAATATGATTTAAAAAGTGAAAATATATGTTCGCCAAATTTGAGCATATCATGAGTGAATCCATGTCATGTATTCTCTAATTGATTAAAAGAAACTCCTCCTATCTTGAACAGAAGTTGTTACAATCCATGGAAGTTGAGTTGCTTAGTTTGGGAAGTAAAATTAGTGAGTAAATTGGTCTCCATGGTTTGGTGACTTAAAGATTTTCAATGTGTACTTGTAAGTTGCAAAATCAATTGTACAGAAAAGTGGGAAGATGTGGAGTGACATCAAGCGACTAGCCCGGGATAGGGAAAAGTCTAGAGTTTTTGTTCGTGGCCTATTCCTGACCCAGGGTGAGAAAGGCAATGATGATGATGATGGAAGTTGCAAATTTAATTTTTTGTGCCTTTGATCAACCTCTGTCAGTAAAATCCACCTGGAAATGTGATTTAAGTGGACTTGAAAGGTGTTGTGCTGGAAAAAAAAATGCCCAACGCCCAACAGGCAGAGAAATGCTGGTTTCCAGTTTCTTTGATTTCATTTTTATGAGGAGCGCCTGATTTCACCCTGGTACCACACATATATTTATCTTATTTTAACTTAATTAACTGTGTATACCCATACCTATGTCATGTTACAGAATATTAAGCTTAAGACTTTCTATATCGAAGGTTTATAGAATTTTTATCAGTTGCCGAAACATTGCTGAGATCCTTTACAGCCTGTGTGGCGGGGAGGGGCTGGTTGAGTAAATGATGTAATTTTGAACGGAGTTCTGTTACTGTTATGTTAACAGTTTTAATATTTATAGACAAAAGTTAATATACAGTGGAAACCATATATAACAGGCCCGGAAATAACAGGAATCCGATAATAACAGCGATTTTTAAAGTCCCCGTTTTTTCCTACTTTTTGTCTCTATTAAAAGTTATCGGCAATAACAGGGCCTCATTTGAGCCCAATCGGTTATAGCAGGGACAAAGGCTCGTTAACAATGTGTAAAAAGTAAGAGAGAGAGAGAGAGAGAGTAACGCAGTTATGGAGCAAGCCCACGCAAACCATGCCACTGCTAGCACACACAGCGACTGAAGCGAGAGAGGGCTGCAGAGTGCTGCAGACTTTGATCTAGCCCTAGCTACCCGCACGCGTAATGTGTCATGTGCAGGCCTGCCACATGGTGCTTGTGGCAAGGGAAACTACCCATGCATATGATAAATACTGCTGGATTAGTCCACAAATGCTTACTTCCCTTGCTTCTCTGATTTTACAGAGATCTGATATAAAAGGACTTTTTCTCTGGTCCCACCATCCCTGTTATATCAGGTTTCCACTGTACAGTGGAGTCCGTTTAAAGTTGGATCTGCGGGACCCCTGGATTTTGTTTGGTTAAGTAAAGGAGGATTTTCAATTGGGAGAGATTGCTCATACTCATAGAAAGAAAAAAAAAAGATTAATAAGAAATTGTGTTTTTGTGGTGGAAGTATTTTGATGAAATTCTTTTTTTTTAGTTAAAGTACTCTTACTCACAAAGGAATAACTCTGTTTTGTCACAGACCTGTACATTGACCAGAAGAAAGACTGTTACAAAAAGCTTGGTTTTAGAAGGTAAGCAGCACTGTTTTTTCTTTGGAATCTTTCATTCATTGTAATTGTTTATGGTGAATATTATTTTTCTATATTTCATTGCTGTTTAGGCGTGATTTAATAATACGAGTACAAGTTACCAAATAGATTTCAGTCACTTTGGCTTGTTGAAAGTGAGGTTCCATTTTTCATTGATAATTTAACCAGAGCTATAACGTGCTGGTATTACATAATTTAATAGGCTTACTAGAGAAAGAAATGAACAGGGTGCTTTCACCTGCTTTGTCAACAGCTTGCACTATACATGCGCACACCCAAGTCAAACAAGATGTCTCTCTCTCTCCTTCCACCCCTCCCTCTTTTTCCCTCTCAGTTTCTGTTTCACTCTCTCTCCCTCTCCCTGTCTCTCTCTCACTCTCACTCTCTCTCTCTCTCTCTCTCTCTAGTCTCTCTCTCTCCTTCCCTCTCTCTCCTTCCCTTTCTCTTTCTCCCTCTCTCTTTCTGTCCCTCTTTCTCTCAAAATGGCAATCGGGTAATGCTATCTTTACATATGTTGAATAAAATAAGAGTGCCAGAGGAAGTGTTAGGAATATCACTAATAATTGTGATGAATGGAACTCAGACTTAGATTTATGCTTGGTTGTGTAAAAGGCAGCAGTTTTTTTGGGGGGTGGGGTGGGGGGGGGGGGTAATGGTAATGACATGTAGCTAATCAGGAGAGAAAAAAAAAGAGGGGAGCCGGGGAAGGATGAGGAGAAAGGAATAAGAAGAGGAAAGTTGAAATGATTGTTTTCATGGAAAATTACTCAATTTCTTGTTCGAAGTGCAGTGAACTTTGTTTTGTAAGAATTTGACCTCGTTGATGTGGTGTAATCTTCAGGGCCTAAGGATGAGTCATGGGACTGTTTATCAACTTATTGACCGGTCAAACCTTATCTGAATCCCTTGGTTTTATAACTCAGTAAGAGTTTTATTTTTGTAGTTTCTAACTCTTAAGATATTACAGAGGGGCAAAAACTTGTCTTAGTTAAAGAAGGGAACCCTTGAGGAGGTGCCATAAAAATGCCTGTGTGCTCTGTTGAAATTAAAGGAGTAATTCCTTCTTCCTCTGTTAACTTTGCTTAGATTCATTGTTGAGTTGTTGTAAGCATTTCAGAGCTTACAAAGCAATTTTATTTAGAGCATACAAAGTAGTAATGAGTACACAAAGACAAAGTAGTGAATTTAGATTAAATACAAAACAGTGAAGGGCATACTTAATAGTTTCGAGCAACACCATGAGGAGGTAGAAAGCCATCAGATGCTTGATCTAACATTTCACCAGGTACTTTTAAAAATCTCTAACCTCTCACACCCCCCATCTATCTATTGAAACTGGAGTTGTTGCGTTGTCATACAAGTTAAAGCAGTGTTTGTCAATTTTTTTTATAGCCAGCGTCCATTTTTGTCACTTTAAGAGGCTAAACTTTTCGTACCAATCGTCTGCCTTCTACATGTAGTTCCAAGCGAGGTATTAAATAACATGCGTCACTACTCAGGTAATCCCCACCCCCTGCCACCTACCAAAATCTCCCAGGTTAGCAAGCAATGGGTGAAAAGAATATATAATTGTGGTCTCTGTTTAGTCAATAATGAGAATATCTCACTGTGTTGGTTTGTGTATATAATAATAATAATAATAATAAATAGCATTTGTATAGCGCATATCCTCGCTCAACAGCAGGCTCTATGCGCTTTACACTATATTATTACCCCAGCAG